CACTCTCGTCAATCACATGCCAAACTATGCTCTGTGTGTGGTGTGTGAGCAGGGTGTATCGCACCCCTCTGGAGAGGGACTTGCTGCGTCGGCATCAGTCGTTCGGCGCCGAGTACAACACCGTCTCGCCCGACGAGCTGTCCGACGCTGATCGCACTGCCGGAGAGGCCGAGTTCCACATCGACCTGGTGCGGTGCCAAAGACACTCAGGAGATGGGAAGATGATCTGTGTGGTGTGGTGTGGTTGGCAGGTTGGTCACAAGCGAGCGGTGACGTCCTTGCGGTTCAGCCCGCTGGAGGACTTCATCTTCTCCACCTCCATAGACAAGTCCACTCGGTTCTTCGACCCTGACACCGGTAGGTACCCGGGCCGCGCCATCCACCCACAATCATGGGCCGACAGGACAGAATCAGGACGCCATGCCTCTTGTGTTGTGTTGTGTTGTGTGGCTGTGGCTGTGGCTATGGCTGTCGCGTGTGTGTGTGTGTGTGTGACATGGCCAGGTGAGTGTCTGAAGGTGTTTGCGGACGGCACCCCCGCCCTGACAGCGGCCTTCCTGCCCCTCAACCTCAACGTCATCATCATTGCCAACACCAACTCGGTGCTCAGACTCGTCAACGCAACCAACGGCGGGGTCATCCAGAAACTCAAGGTCCGTCAGTGGGACAGGGCGGCTGTGTGCATCGCATCCTCACCCACGAGTGTGGTGGGAGGAATGGAATGGAATCGGTGTGTTTGTGTGCATGGATGGATGGATGGATGTGTGTGCAGTTTGACACTGAGGTTCGGGCGATGCAGTTCGACGACACGAGCTGCTTCTGCTTCGCCGGCACCAAGAACGGCGTCATCCACGTCCTCGAGGCCACCGACTCGTCCACCCTCAAATTCAAATTCAAACAGGCCCTCTCCAACAGAAACAGGGTCAGTCAGCCAGTGGGTGGACACACACACACTCACACACACACACACACCGACACAGGACAGCTTCTCCATGTGGAATGGCTGTGCGTGTGTGTGTGTAGGCGGCGATAACGTGCATAAACTACGTGAGTTCGACGACGCCCGAGCGCAACCCCTACATCCTGGTCAACTCGTGCGACAACTTCGTCTCCATCGTCGACTGCATCTACGGGGAGCCATCCGTACTCACCAACCTCACCGTCAGACACAGAGTCAAGGTACGTACGGACGTGTCGGTGGTGCTGTCGCGGCGACAGACACCACCCACCACACCGACCCCCGCACATCCATGGCCATACCCCTCCCCTGTGGGGTGTCTGTCTGGTGTGTCTGTCAGGTTGCGCATTCCCTGCTGCCGATCGGTAGCTGCTACTCGGGTGCGGGGGGAGGTTTTGTCGTCTCGGGATCGGAGGACAAGGAGGTGGGCGAGGGAGTGGGGAGTGGGGTGGGTTCAGCAAAGGGGGAGAGGGCGGGAGGGAGGGAGGTGCGACGTCATTGATGCGGCTGCCCGCCTCCCTGCCTGGCTGGCTGGCTGCATGGCTGGTTGTCTGTGTTGTTTGTTCAGGTGTATTTGTATTCCCTCGACCCGCACAACAACTATCGGCTGCAGAACCTAGCCCATGTGCACCAGGTACTCACTTACATCCCTTCATCACACACACACATAGAGAGATAGATGCCATCCCTGCAGACACACACACGCCTTGATTGATTATGGTGTGTTGTTCGTGCCGTCCGTCCACATGGCGTGCAGGCTCCTGTGTTGGCGGTGGCCAGCAATTTTGTCGACACTCTTCTCATCTCTGGGGACTCTGCCGGGGTGGTCTTCCTCTGGAGACGACTCGAGTACACCGAGGGCGGCAACTGACAACACACACACGCATAAATAGGATGGGCGATTGTACTGGGACGACTGGAATGGACGGCTGGACGCCGTAGCCAATCCACCCTCTCTCCCTCCCTCCCTCCCTCCCTCTGTGTCCATGTGCACCACTCAGCCACGCCATGTTCTTTATTTCTTCATCCCTTCTTGTGTGTGACATATATATGATACGATATCTATGATGTGTGTGGGGGGGGTGGCGCGTGCCGTGCGTAAGGGAGGGATTCTTTTATTTATGTGCCTGCCAGTGAGTGAGTGACTGAGTGAGTGACTGAATGAATGGATGGATGAGTGCGTTGCGCTGCAATGCACTCGACACGGCGTCATTTTTGTTTCTTTCTTTCTGTGAATGGTAGTGGTACGGACGGGGCGGGACGGACAGCGCGCCTTCCTTCCTTGACGTGTGTACATTCATTCCTTGATGCCTTCCTTCATGGTGCGAAGCGTTTCGTGTAATGGGGGGGGGAGAGGGGAGGGAGGGGGGGAGGGTGAGTGTATAAAAGACTGTCTGGCTGGCTGTCTGTCTGTCTTGTCTGTCTGGGTGTCAGTCATGGTTCCTCTGCCAGTGGGTGTGTGTGGGTCCACGTGGTGTATTGCTGATTGATTGATGCGTGTGCTGTGCGTGGGAGTGTGAGAGAGTGTGTATGAAATGAAGACACCTGACCTGTATGCTATGGCTGGCTACCACTGACAATCAATTTGCCTCCATGATGACGACATAACATGACACCAATCCATCCATTGATTTGTCCACCGCTCACCTCACCAAACATTGATTTCTCCACCCCCACCATTTGTTTGGTCGCGCTGGGGCTTCTGGAGGTCGGCTGGGTGATACTGGGGCGGCACCGCGGTTCTCATGCCGCCCCAATATCACCCAGGCGGATTTCAAGAAGCCCCACCGCTCACCCAGTGAATCGTCAGACACTCAATTCACCCTCACCGCCAAGCGTAAGTCTATTCACACCCCACCCCATCCGCGTCACCCGTCCCATACACCCACCCCTCTAGTACCCCCCCTCCCCTTTCGGCAGTTGGTCATGCGTCTGCACTGGCACCTTTCGCGTCTTGCCGCTCGCCCCGCATGGTGGCTGGCGGTGGCTGGTTCATCAGCACCAGCGACATCGTCCGCCCGTCATGAGCCTCAACAGACGCATCGCGAAGGAACTCCGGACGCTCCACAGCAGCGGCAGAAGATGATGCACCAGCCGCAGTACCAGCGTCATTCACAGCTGCCGGTTGGGCAGCAGCAGCAGCAGCGGCAGCAGGAGGGGAGGGCTGTGGTGCCACCGACGGGTGCTGTTTGTGTGTGGGGGATGGGAGGGAGGAGTCGCCGACCTGGTGCTGTAGCAGGAGGGATGCCAGCTGTTCGGGCGTGTGGTTGGAGTTGGGCATGAAGACGCCTTCCGGTAGGCCGTGGTGCCGCTTGCATATCTTCTTGAGGCGGGAGGCGATGAAGAACATCTTCTTCCGCTTCGCCTCGCTCAGGTACGACATGTCTGAACCAACGAACCAATCAGACAACGCATCAGCGGAGTCAGAGAAGGCTTTCTGACAAAGAGGTTTCTCTCTGCCTGCGATGCGTGAAGGGAGAGCTCACCTGCCGAGAACTTCTTGCTTTTCTTGTACTTTGGAGCCATCCTGATTCTGAACTCCAGAGCAGCAGCAGCGGTTTCAGGAAGCACTCTGAGCGGCCTGACGAATCGTCGTGTCCTGACCTTAGTGCGAAACGCATCCCCGCCCTAAGCGAATTCTGATCTTGCATGAGATTCAGGATTTCCAGCTGCAGCTGAGGTTCCTCGCCCGCATGGCGCCAAAGAAGCGGGTGAGCGCTTCAGGAAAAACAGCACAGAATTCGACATTCATCGTGTCCAACTGTCGCTTCCTCAGGCGGCTGAGGCTCCGGTCGAGCCCCAGCGCCGCAACGGGCGCGGCTCCAAGAAGGCCCGGCAGCAGCACCTCGCGGCCGCCATAGAGGCTCAGGTGGTGCATGAGCAGCAAGACGAGCTGGACATCTGCCGTCAGAACGCTTCCCAGCGCGAGAAGGCCTTCCAGAACGGCACTGAGAAGCTCCGGTTCCTCGTGCCCGACTACAATGGCGCGGCGTTGCTCAGCGGTGCCATGATGAGCCAGTACTCGTCCGCCGTCAAGGCGCACAGCGACCTCGTAAGGCCACATCACATGGATGGCACAGACAGGGCACTGCGGGCGGGGGAAAACTGCACTGCATGGCTGTTGTGTTGGTGTGTCTGTGCGTCGGATGGCTGCAGGACCGTTTTGCGATGCCGGAGGGTTTCCTGAGTCAGTGCGGCGAGGAGTTCAAGAAGTTGCGCTCCTTCACCGTGGACCGGATCTTCGCGGCCTGCAGCAGCATGCGCGTGTGCGGGGGGGCACTCGTGGCAAGCGTCCGGCTGTTCGACTACTACCAATACAAACGTGAGGCGGCACCTGCACACACACACACACACACGTGCCCTCGTGAGAGTGTTTGTTTTGTGCCTGCCTGCCTGGGTGGCCTCAACAGAGTGGGAGAGCGGTGTGGGCCTGTTTGAGCATAACGTTGTTGCGGTAGACGGCATCGCACACACGAACGCGCCAAGATACGGACAGAGATGTCCGTGCGCATCTGTGTGTGGTGTGCTGCACTGCGTGTGCCCGTCCATAGGTTGGTTACACGTGTCTGTGGATAGCGTCCAAGTTTGAGAGCGACGCGGCGTTGGTCAACGACCTGGTGAGCCTGATGAACCAGGTGCCGTGGGACAAACGGGGCAAGGACTTCACGCCCAACGACTTCCTCAACCTCGAGATACACATACAGGGGTAAGGAGGTTGGTGACCGGGGAGGGAGGAAGATGGGCCATGGTGGCATCTCTCTCTCTCTCTCTCTGTGTCTGTCTGTCTGTCTGTGTGTGTGTGTGTGTGGTGGTTGCAGCGTTGTCGGCATGCGAGTGGCGTTCCCTACCCCGTGTAGCTTCACCGATCGGTTTGCCGAGGCCGGCGGCATTGCCATGGACACCAAGGACCACTCCTTCGTGTATTTCCTACAGGTGGGCTGGCTCGGCAACAAACACACACACAGATGCACCCTCTTTGTGCTGTGTGCGCAGGAACTGACGTTGACGGACCTCAACTTCTCCAAGTACAAGGCCATCATCATCACGGTAGGTACTCAGACACACAAAGGCTGACTTACACCATTTATCTGGACTTCTGGCTGTCCTTGTGTGGTCCATCCATCCATCCATCGCCTAAACAGAGCGCTGCTGTGTACATGACCCGCAAGATGTGGCTGCTGATGGAGGGCCAGCCACGACACGGCGAGGATAGCTGGGTACACACACCACACCGCATAACACCACACCACACAATACACTCACAGGAGGGCAAAAGAACACACTCATGTTTGTATTATGACTCGTGTGCAGACGGACACGTTGGCTCGCGTGACAGGCGTCAGGAAGTCGCAGCTGCGGCACTGCGCCGGCAAGATGGCCGACCTCCTGCGCACCCTCGGCCGCCCCGACGTAGCCGAGGTGCACATTTGTGCAAAGATCGCACGGATGAACCTGCGAGCCCTCCTGGCTGTGTGTGTATGGCACAAACAGGGGATTCAGGATGCCTTCGTGGCCAAGTGGAGCTTGCCGGTCAACTACGCCCTGGCGGCCACACTCTACGACTAGTCACCGACGAACCCACACACACGTGACGTAGGTAGGTAAGTGAGCAAAAGGAGCGAGGGGGAGACACACATATGGTCTCTTGTCTGCCTCTCTGTCCCTGCAGATGGCTGGAGGCTGCATTTTCTCTTCGTATCTGTCCCCTTCCCACCAGTATGTAACCAATCGGCTTGTATGGCGTGGATGCGCGGGAGTGTCTGTCTGTCTGTCTGTGGGACTGGCTGGAGGGACGGAGGGTGGGTCTTGTCTTGTCTTACCGCAGAGAGAAAGGCAGGGGCAGGGCGGGAGGGTTCGGTGCGGCCTTAGCAGCAGCTCAGCCATGGCATGGATGAGAAAGAAATGGACATGGCGACTGCGCGGCGTGGCATGCGTCGTTCCCACCCTAATGTCTGGCTGCACCCATCCCATCCCCCCCCTCGTTGCATAGGTGTGGTATGTGCAGGCGCTGTGTCCGTGTGTGTGGTTGGGCTGGGTGGTCTGGCTGTTGTCAATATTGCCCGCGGTGTCTGTCCGAATCGATGGGTGTCACTGATCGTTGTGGGGACGTGCGCGTGTGTGTGTGAGTGTGTGGATGGACACGGGAGACGGTTGAATGCGACAGAGGGATATCTTCAGTGTGTGTGTGTGCGTGTGTGCGTGCGAATGAACACACATACACATGCTGATGGGAGGGGAGAGGGAGAGACGTCCGTACACACCTCAGAAGTGAGTGACACTCACCGGCTACACATGCAGACAATCATGCTAACATATGCGTGGTGCTTTGACGCCACCACCCATCGGCATATTCGTTTGTTCTCCCCGTACGTGGCGATGGCTGCCAGCACAAGGCACAATTGCGAACTTGGCGAGAATTCTCGTCGGGAGACGTCACTAAGAATCACCGCTGTCGTGTTGTCCTGCCTCGTTTTCCAGCTCATCGGGCGTCATCTCGTTCTACTCTCTCTTTTCCTCGTTGGTTTCGTCGCGTCCCACACACCTCATCCTCATCCCGCCCCTCTCTCCCTTCCTCGGCCTGTGGGTGACAGCGGGCCAGCCGCCCTTATCGCTCGCCAACGCGGCATACAGCCAGCGGGCCCAGCCCTCCTGGCCAAGGATCCACGGCTGCATTCTGTCTGTCCGGCGCGTCGCCCCCTTGTCGGTGTTTGTTTCAGGTACGGTTTTTGCTCAATATGTGAAGATGTCTTTTTGATGCCGATCCGATCCGACCGAGACGCACGGGAAATTCGTGACCCCCCACCTCAGTGTGGCGACGTCACTGCACCAATCGGCGGCTTAACTTGTGAAATTGGCGAGAATTCTCGTCGGGAGACAGGACGTCAAGAAGAACAAGAAAACAACCACATTACTTACCGCTGCCGTGTTGTTCTGCCTTGTTTTCCAGCATCGGGCGTGATCTCTTCCAGGACTGGTCCCTTGCGTCCCACCCGCCTCAGCCTCCCTCGCCTCTCCCTCCCTTCTGCAAGTGGCAGCGGCAACCAGCCGCCTCGCCGCCCCTATTGGCCTTCCCCCAACGCGGCATCAGCCAGCCGGCCCAGCCCCTCCTGGACCCCTGGTTCCCGCCAAGAGTCCAACCTGTCTGTCCACCGCCTCGTCGGTGTTTTATTTCGAATTGAGGGAAGTCACTGTGTGTGGACATGTGAGAGGTAACATGACTTTTTGAGCACATGTACTTGTCGTCTGTTGCCAGCGAGGCAGCAGTGCCCGCACGTGGACGAGGACCGAGCGCCTGTGCCCGTGGGTTGACACAAGAAAGTATTCTCGACGAGAGACGGAGTGAAATATTCTTTTCGTTCTCGCTTTTTCGAGGTTGTGCTTCTCAGCTGAGTCACGTCGGTGTTCTTCCTTGCCGCAAGTTCAAGTTGGTCCTTGGGCCCCCTTTCGCCCCCAGTCTCTTCGAAAGACCGGGAGAATCATGATGAGCATTCAATTTGGACGGTGAGCAGGCTCTTCAACTTGATGATCCTGAGCGTGCCTGTGGGATGTGGCAGCGGAGTGTGCGTCAGGATTCAAGCCCAAGTTCAGGCCATGGTGCCGGCAAAGGCTGCTCCTGCAACGGATGAGCTCGAGAAATGCACTGCAGCTGAGCGAAGGCAGACGAAGAGGATTTCGTCATGATGGATGCCAGGATTGCACCTTCAGCCACCAGGCGGGTCAACTCAAGAGCGTCAAGTACGCCTCATTCGTGAGTGTGGCTCCACACTTACGAATTGCATCCGCACGGCAATTCAATGGTGTGCTCTCTCCTTTGCTTTTCAGTAGGTCCATCACACTCAAGTTCATCGCCGACACATCACGGCCGCCATCACCATTCGCTTATGCTGGATGCCATGAAGATGAAAGAGCGGCGCAACGATGGAAGGAGAGGCCGAGGCAAAGACGACAATGACGACAGTGACGACGAGGATGACGATGATTATGAAGTGGACGAGCAGGAGGACCGCATGGAGCTTTCAGGTGGGGAAGATCTCGAGAAAGGTGGTTGTGTGTGTTTCTGTCTGTGTGCCTTTTTCCCGGACATAGACGAAGAAGCTGACCTGGGCGAAATGAAGGGTCCGCTGGTTGCCCGCTACATGTGTCGCCCGCTGCGAGGATGTACCAAAAGAGGAAACAGGACCTCACTTGGTACACCACACCATACACCAGCATGTGCACCTCCCTCCCTCCCTCCCTCCCTCCCTTCGTGTGTGCCGTGTTTTCGCGTGTCATGCAGGTGTGTATTGGGACACCAACGGCCAGTCCTACCGTGCCCGCATCCGCAATATGTCAGGCGGCAAATTCAAGCCCGCCGACTGGACCCTCCGCGGCCCCTCCAGAGGTCCTCACCGACGCCGTTCTCTCCCATGGCTGTTGGGCATCCCCCTTGGCCCGCGGATGGGCCACCACCCGCTGCGCCTCTCGAGAGTCAGGAGAACAACTCATTTGCAACACAACAACACATATCTGATTGAATGTCCTTGTGCTGTCCATATAATATGTGCAGCGTCTGACAACGACGACAACGTGACTCGCTCCTCAGGGATGCCGTCGTCTGGTATGGACGACGAGGATTCCTGCCCAGCCGCCCTCCACGCCGCCTTCCACAAGGCCGCCGCCTTCAAGGGCCTGAAAGCGCACATCATCACCAGCGACTCCAAGGCTTTCCTCGTGCTGGCGGGGCCCTTTCGTGCTGGGGGAGGGGGCAAATACTACGTCCAAGCCGAGGTGCGCCGCCAACGGGGGAGCTGGGATCTTCGGGGGCTGCGCTTGAAGGTCGAGCGGGCGAGGAAGAGGGCGGGCCAGCCACCCGACATGCGCCGCAACCACTACGTCAACATTCAAGGATTTCGGGTGCTAGAGGGAGGGAGGGGACATCAGCAGCTACCGGAGATCGCCATGCCGCCCCAGATCGACGACGGTGGCCCCCCAGCGAGCAAGGACGGTCAGACCCGCAGCCGCCAGCCACCGTCTTCGTCTGAAGATGAGAACCAGCTGCTAGCAACGAGGCCGTCAGCGAGAGGCACCATGCACAAGGTGAGAAGAAGGCACATCGACACACACAGGAACTAGGGTGATGTGCCAAGTGCATGTCTGCTCCTCTGATACGTGACTTGCTCGTCAATGAGTGACTGCAGGCACACAATGAGGTCCAGCTGCTGAAGGAGGAAGGTCAGAAGGGCTGGAAAAGACGGGCAGCGTGGCACGGGCAGATGGAGGGATGGAGGAACAGTGAGGCCAAACTTTGTCAGTGTGTTTGTTTGTTTGTTTGTTTGGTGCAGAGAAGGAGACTCAGTGTGAGACGGCTGGGGGAAAGCGGCAGCGGAAGGCCGACGAGTCAACGGGCACCTGCGACGTCGACTGGCTTCTCTTCAAGATGCTCAGGTCACATCAAACAAACCGACCAGACACCGACAAACCGACCTGCAACCATGATTGTTGTCTCCACTTGTTGTGTGCAGGCAATATCGCTGCGTACATTTTATATTTTGACCGATATCTATCGCCTTCCAGTGTATGGTGTAAAAAGAAAAGACTTCTCCCTCCTGCCGATGGCCGAGGTCCCCCTCATGCTGCGGCGCGCCGGCTGCGGCAGGGCTATGTGCGGCCGGACGTGGTGCACATGTCGTTCATACAGGAGCTGAGCCAGGCCATGCGACTCCCGTGAAGCCCGTCAGCGGTGAGTTGGGAGGCGGTGGTCACACGCACAGACACACAGAAGCTCATTGCCGTGTGATGATCCATTCATTCATTGTGTCTCCCTCCATCTGTGTGTGTGGTGCAGCCAGACGCGGCCTCAATCGCCGCCTGCATTTTATATTCGCTTGGATTTTTCTGTTGATACTCTGCCGCGCCCATTTGTTACTTCCTGTTCAGAACAAGGAGGTCATCAAGAAGAAGAAGCAGAAGAAGGACCTCTTCGCAAAAGTCGAAGGCCCTCTGAGACTCCCCATAAAACCTGTAAACCAATCACCTGCCTGCACAAACAGATAGACAGACGTGCATCTATATGTTCACACGCATCCATCGCATCTGTAGGGCAAGGCTCCCGCTCCCCCAGTGGCCCCCACGATCCCTGGTGAGGGTCACGACAACGGGCGTCGGACGGCCAAACCACCGGCAGCAGCAGCTGGGGCGGCTCGATTGGTCAGGACTGATGCACGACACAAAACACCTGGTGCTGCAACAGTTGCGGGTGCTGCTTCTGGTGGACGCGTGGCAGCAACCAAACAGGTATGTGGGATACACTCACTTATGTGTGTGTGCATTTATGTGTGGTTTCTTTATCCATCCATCCATCCATCAGGCCGGCAGAGGTGAAGGCCGCGGTCCATCCGCTGGCAGACTGCAGTGCCCAAATGGCAGGACACAGCAGGTGTGCTTACAGTACTCACACATCACAAACACAAACGCAGACAGCCCAGCCGTCCATCACTCTGTCTGTCTGTCTGTCTTTGTGTCATTGATGTGGATGTGTGTCAGGCGTTGACTGCTGGCGGTCGAGGTGTCAGCATGGGGCCGATGATGGGCCACAAGGCACCCTCACCTTCTGGTCTTCACGCTGCTCTTCCACTGGTCAAGAAGAGCACCCTGAAGAGCCCCCCACTGGTCCAGAATGCCGACCGTCCGCGGCTGTCTGTTGTCATGACTCATCAGCATCACCACGCTCGGCCTCAACCGCATCACCACGCTCGCTATGACATGGTGTGTATCCTACGTCTTATCCATTCCATGCCGACACTGAGGGCCGACAGACACAAGGAGGGGCACTCGAATCAATGAAGCGTGTAAGTCGTGAATGGATATGGCACATCACTGCGGTATACCTGTGTGTCTGTGTCTCCTGTGTGTGTGCAGGACGTTTCGCCAGAGGCTTGAGACTGGATCAACCGCTGTCTACATTATATATTTGTCGAGTCTCTTCCCTTCAGCTCCGTACGCTACCCCTTGCCCCGGACCGTCTGCTGCCCCTGGCGCTCCACCACGACGGCCACGCCACCCACCCATCCCCCTCCAACCTCTCATTCGGCCCACACGAGGCATAAGCCATCGGCTGGAAGATCGGGTCCTTCCTGCACGAGCCACACACCGCCATGGCGACCATCGATGGGTACCTGATAGGTGACTCGCTGCTGAGGCGCCGCGTGCGGGCGGCCGTGGCGCATTTCGTGGAAGAGGCGGCCACGCGGACGAGCAGCAACCGGGAGGTGGTCAGGGGGAGGCGGCACGTGCAGCACGAGAAAGGGTCTCCCTCACTGGCAACAGGAAACAAGTAAACGTGCACAAAAAGGCATGTCTCTCTTCACATTGAGCGTTAACCGTACTTGAAAAAAAACACCGACGAGGGAGCGACGCGCAGGACAGACAGAATGCACCCGTGGATCTTTGGCCAGGAAGGTCTGCCTTTTGGTGTAACTTGTGCATCTGTGTGTGAATGCATACAGACGCGCTCATCCATGAGTTGGGTTGGCACCGCTACATTTTGACCTTCCTTGACATACATAGAGGGAGGGATCAATGGACACACAGGGAGGGAGGGATTAATACGACGAGCGATCTTGATTTAACGCTCTCAGTCTCTCAGGCGAAGGACAACGTCATGTCATGCACGCACGATCAGCGTATCCATGCGGTCCACATACGCACAACCAGCCAATTCACGTAGCATATCAACACAACACAAGACAACACAACAACCGACCGCCATAAATCGCCACTCATCGCAGCCGCCAGCGACCTCTCCTACCCCCTGCCAGCCTACCCTACAGCCGCCTAGAGGTCTCCCCTTGACTCGACTCACTGACCGGTGGGGCCTCCCTTAAGGGTGAGTGGCCATCATCATTATGTGAGGTGGGTGTGGCGCATAGAACAAGGGCTGGCCGATCGTCGCATAGGGCGGCGGAGGCGCAAAGGCCATGGCAGGGGGCGGCTGCGGCACGGGTGGTTGGATGTATCGCTGCTGCTGCTGGCGATGGCCATTGTGGTGACGTGACTGTGCTGAGATTGTGGCGGGGAGGCGGAGGTCGGGGATGCGCCGCGGCATTGTGGCCGATGCAGCATGGCCTTTGGCATGGAGAAGGGGCGGCGACAACGGCTGGCCGCTCATGATCACACCAACAGCACCTGTCACACACAGCACCCACAGAGACAGGTGGCATCGATGCTGCGTTTTTTCCGCTGCGACTGCATGCGTACGCTTGTTGGCGTCCGATTTCCATTGAGTCTGGGTCTCTTGCAGCTTGAGCTTGAGTGCGTTGGCGGGAGTCAGCGGGCCGCACTTGGGGTGGTGCCTGTGGTGCTCGGTAAACGAGTGGTGGACGACCGACCGGCGGGATGCCCTTGCCGCTCCACAGCCGAGCCCCCACCCTGTCGGCCTCTATGTCGATGCCCACTCCCTCTCCCACCACTGGCAGGCGCGTCTTGGCCACGTCAAATGACGGCGGCTCGTTGGCGATTCGGGTCATGACAATAGACAGCCTCGGCCGCTCGGCTTTCTTGACCATCGGGGCGCTCTTCAGGTGGTCATCAGGCTGCTCTTCTTGCTTGGGTGTGTGCCGCTCGGATGTATCGACCACTCCCTCCCCCACCACCGGCAGGCGCGTCTTGGCCACGTCAAATGAGGGCGGCTCGTTAGCGATGCGGGTCATGACAATCGACAGCCTCGGCTGCTCGGCTTTCTTGAGCGCTGGGGCGGTCTTCTGACGGTGGTCTTGTGTGAGTGCGAGTGTCTTGGGGGCGTCCGATGCTGTTAGGGCGGTGAAGGGGCGGGGGGCTTTGGTGCCGGATGCCCCTATCATGCCGGCCAGGGCAGCAAAAGGGTCACCGCTGCCACCTGCACACATCAACGAGTGACACACACACCAATATGTGTCATACCGCGTGTTGGTCCTCCTCCCTCTCCCTCCTTGTCTCTCTCTCTCTCTCTCTCTCACCTCCTGTGCGGATGCCGACACCTGGTCCGATCATCGCGGCATTCTCGCCGCCATGACTTCTCTCAACACCAGCAGCGCCATTGGCCGTCTGTGGTGGCGGGGGCTGCTTTCTCCGACCAGCTGCACTAGCTGTGACCGATCGCTGCTTAGAGATCTTCTTGGGCACAGTGGCGGCCGCATTGCCGTCGTCAGTCGTGTCGGCCGCCCTCTGTTTCCTGGCGTGAGCCCTGACGTCTGTGTGGGCGTCTGTGGGGGGCGTGGCGATGCGGCCATCGAAGGCGACGACGCCGTCTGCATGTGAGGCCACCCTGGCGCCAGGGCTAGTGGAGGAGATGGCAGCAGAAGGGGGGGCCTTGTGCCCCAGAACCCCACCCCCAATGCTCGCACCGCGGCCACCACCAGTCAAATGTGTCTGACATACACACACGACACACAGACACACAGACAGGGAGATCGGGGGTCTGTCTTTGTTTGTGTATGTTTGTGAGTTCTGCCTTGCTGCACACCTGCTGCTGTCTCCTGCCGTTTGTGAAGTGCGATCCGCCAGCCGATGGCCACCGGCCTTCGCCTCTGCTGGCGCCCCCACGCACGGCACGGCCCTGGTGGATGGATGCAGAAACACCGAGGGCAGGGCACCCACACACGTCCACATATGGGTGAGTGAGTGTCTCGTGTGTTTGTAATGTCTGTCTGCCCCACGTACCGTACCTGAATCTGCGATTTATGGCTGAGCAGTCGGGCAGCCCCTGCCACTGGGACACCGCCAGCAGGGATCGTGGGGGCCACTGGGGGAGCGGGAGCCTTGCCCTCGGCCGTCTTCCGCAGACTCGTGGCCTCGCGAACCAAACGGTCCGCACGTACCTGACGGATGGATGGATGGAATGGCCAACACAAAGAACACACCCCACAATGACCGTGCGACGACTGTGGGGTGATGTTTCCGTGTGGTGTGTATGCCCACACCCCGCCCCATCTCACCAGTTCTCTGTCGAGTGTTTGCTCAGTTCTGTGGATGACGGCGGTCACCTCGGGCGGCAAATCGCAACCGGACAAAAGACGTTCCAAATCACCGTCTACACACACACACACATAGGGAATGAACATCTGTCTCTGTCTCTCTGTCGGTGTGGTGTGCGTGTCGCCCACCTCCCCCCTCCCCCTTCTCACCTGTGGCCACGTCGTTCTCCCCACCAGCCACAGCCAATTCGTCCACATTGGCCGCGGCGACCTTCTTGAGACGCTCCTGCGTGAGGCAGGCAGCCATGACACACAAGACACCACAAGCATCAATGTGCCAATATATGGATGGGTGTTCCTGTGTGGCTGCCTCAAAGTCTCTTCCATCAGCTGGTTGTATTTCTCCTGAAGCTCGTCCAGCCGGGCCTGCAACTCATCGTACTGGTCCTTGGTGACGTGATCCAAAGCAGACGGCTCCTGTACCTGACATCAGTGGAGTGAGGAGGAGAGCCCGTGACTGGATTGGATGGTGTGTGGCTGTGCTGCCTAACCGCATCAGTGGCCTTGGTTCTCTCGGCTTCCTGGAGTTTTGCATTGACCATGTCCTGCATACAGACACACAATCAGACACCCTTCATCAGTGGACCTTTGCTGGTGGAGGACACGCAGGCCCTCACTGACCAGCTCCCGCTGTTGTTTGCCGATGGCGGTGCGGAGGACGTGCTCCATTTTGAACCACTCATCGGCCGCCTTGGCAGCCGCCGCATCCTTGTCAGCCAGCAGCTTGGTCTACACACAGCACAACACAACACAACACACCGATGTGCATATGTGCGCCTATAGATGTGTGCGTCACTCAGTCTCTCACTGACCTTGTTATCACCCGCAGCTGCAAGATGCGACCTCAGCTCGGCTATCGTCTTCTCTTGGTGGTGGTACATGTCCTTGATGGCATCGTATCGGTTCTTGACGTCGTCGTACTTCCGCATGTAGTACCGCGCCATGCTCTCACCCATGAGGCGGTCGTCTGCGTCGAAATCTGTGTCGAAATCATCGTCATCGCTCTCCTACAGACAACACAGCACACGTACGCAGAGTGAGGGAGAGAGAGGTCCAGTCGATATCTTTCCCTCAGTTCTGTGTGTGCGTCACAGTGCGGCGCGCACCTGTCTGTCGGTATCCTGCCGTTTGTGTGTGGTGGGGGCTGCCACTGCGGCCATATCGCGGCACCACTCGTCATCGTCACTGGCACTGCTGGCACTGCTGCTGCCTCCCTTGGCTGCAGCATCAACACCGGGCGCTGCGGCTGCGGCTGCTGCCACTTGGTCTGGCGGGTAGTTGCGATCACGCTCCTGAGACCACCACAGCACACACATACACACACACACACACACTGACGACTGTGTGGATGTGAGGATGAGTGAGGGTCTGTGTGCCTACCTCGTGGACCTCCTTGAGGTTGAGTTTGGGAAGGGCTGGCGGGGGCAGCGAGGGGCTCCGCTGGTGGCGGTTGTGGTGCACAGGGTGGGGGAGAAAATAGACCTGACGGTACACAGACACACAGACACACACACACACACACACACAGGTAAATAAGAGTGGATGTGTGTGTGCGCCCTGCCGTGCCTACGTCCACGAAATCTTCCTCGTCATTGGCGTCGTCCATCTGGCGGTGCCGGCTATCTGATTGACCAACACAAAGGCAGTCAGATAAAAGGTGACAGATGTGCATCAATCAACCATCCCCATCCATGGGTGAGAATGCGATGCGTACCGCTGAGTGGCTGCAGGCGGTGTGGTGAGGCCATCAAAACTCCTGCCAACCGCCCCGGCCTCGTATCATCGCTGAAGCCACCAATCCAGCCAGTGGGCCACAGGCGCACACACACAGGCAACAGATGATTGGCGTGGGGTTGGAGGGGGGAGGGGGGTGGGGTTGGCTGGGTACCTTGTCCTCTTGTTGGCGCGTTTGCGTAGCTCGTCTATCTCCGTTGTCTTGTCGAGGATGTCCTCAGCCTGGCGGCTGATCTTGCTCTTGAGATGCCGCTCGTGCAACCTGGTGACACACACAACGAGATAGAGATGGAATGAGTGAGTGGAGTGACTGTGTGGGTTCTCTCTCTCTCTCGTCTGTTGCCAGGTGGTTGGCTGACCGTACCGTGCTGCCCTGAGCTGCTTCTCTGTCGCCTCCTGTCGGTCCTTCATCCTCGCTGCCTCCTGCACTCATTCACCGCACCACACGCGCCGCACCGCACAATATGTACAAGATGCACTGACCTGCCTCACTCAGTCACAACTGCGGGCTGCCCTGCCCGACTCTCTCTCGTGTATGTCGTGCAGGTCTGCTCTGCTGTGCTCTGCTGTGCTGCACTCACACTCACTCACCTCCTGCGACGCCTTTTCCTGCTCCTGACGAAGGGCGAGGGCGCGTCGCTCCTCTAGCTCCTGCTGTTCTCTTTGGTGGAGCTGGTAATGAGCGCTGGGCGGCAGGAAGGCACCCAGCTGCTGCTCGTCATCGCTGTCATGCTCCTGCGTCAGTGCAGGGGGAGCGAAGACAACGAAATCAGTGAATGAGTGAATGACTGGCGCTGTGACAGCTATCAGTCATTGCTTGCCTGGTCCTCTGGCGGAACACCCCCGAATCCCATAGAGGGCTTCTTCACAAGGTTCTTCATCATCGTGTTTCTCTTGCTTCGAGAGAGGGGAAACCTGTGGGCCTTTGGGGGAGACTGCGAGCTTTCTTGAGTATCTCGACTCGAATTCACCGCACAAACGACGGACGAGGCCCATCACCCTTTCCCCTTTACTCTCGACAAGCGACAAGCTCTCTGGGGGAAACTTTTGACATTTGCGCGTTTGCGGCCAGGTTTGGGTGAGCCGCTCCCCTCCCGTGTGCAACCAACCCATCCTTCCTATTCTTTTCTCCCAGCTCTCCCAGAATTGTATATACGAACCATGCCAGCCAACTCGTGGCATGCGTCTGTCTGTATGCACATACAAATTCACCCGCCCACAACTCACACGACACCACACCACAGCAGGCAAGGCAGGCCCTCCCACACCATTCACCACTCGCTCACCCATGGCATCCTCCGCCCGCCGCCCACCCTCCCGTGCCGCCTCATCTGTGCCCTCCCCTTCCTCACTCGCAGCTCACGCACAAACGATGCATACGCCGCCCTCTCCTCATTCGCCGCCACATCACCTCCACCTTGATCAATGATCTCTTCACATTTCCTGTGAACGCCCTTGAGAAACTCATTCAGCCGCCGCAGCGTCTCGGTCGACGGCGCTATGTGGGGAGGCTCGTGTGGCCGGGGTGGTGGTGGTGGGGGCAGGGGCGGTCTTCCCCTGTGTGCGGGGGGGCGGGATGAGGGTGGTCGATACGAGCGGGGGGGAGGGGCAGAGGGAGTGGGAGATTTGGAAGACGGCGGGTTGCACCGGGGGGTCGGTATCGACCGAGAGGAGTCCCTGGCCTCCTTGGCCAGCTTGCGCCATGACAGACCTCTGCAAGCGGCAACGCAACAAGAGACAAACCGAGCACCCACAATGCGCCACTCGATTATTGGGTTTCATGTCTGCTCACCTTGGTTCAGCTGGCAAGGTGGAGCATCCCCTGTCGCGTGGGGTCGTCACGGCACTGCCCCGCCCCCTCAGCTGCGACTCCCATCTCCTCCGCCGCTCCTCATCCAGTCCACGGGCACTCATCTGCTGGGGGCGGGATGACCTGTTGACCAGGTGCAGTGGCAGCCTCATGGGGGGCAACGGGGGCTTCCCGACATGCTCCCCGACATGCTCATGGGGTGGGGGTGGGGGTGGCTTGGGTCTGGCCAGGGCCAGCCGATCGAAGGCCGACTCCACGCAGTGCCAATACACAGCTGAGATAAGGGAAGGAAACAAGGCATTGTATCACGATCACGGAGATGCCCATGCTCTTTGTGTGTTTGGTGGTCTACCTGTGAGTGTGTCGGCCATGACTCTCACTTTGGCTACCGATAGCAGGGCCGCGGCGTGCCACGAGGCCACCGTCCGCGACAACAGGCACCGCTGAAAGGGCGCAGAGGGAAAGACACACGGGAGTCATCGAGCAATGGACTGGTGGTCTGTCAGTCTTCCTGTCTGCGGGTCTGCCTGCCTGCCGGGATACCTTCCAGCGGGAGAGGGCGGATGCGTTCCGCCTGTTCTTGATCCGCCGCACCCCTGGGTGTCCATATGACACGGCAAATCATTCGATTGCTGGACGGACCGGTGCAGTGTGCACTTACTCGTGTAGCGGACAAGGCTTCGAAACGCACGCATCATCAGTCTCTTGCTGCACAGCACACACCAACGACAACCCCACACACATGCAATGCAGACACGCGACGATGACGCATGACAGGCATGGCAGCGCACCTGTAGTGGCTGTTGGCGAGCCCACAGCCAGCGGTGTGTCGCCTCCGCCCGGAGCAGTAGGCCTTCCATCTCGCCATGGAGCGATCTAGTGCCCGCTCATGGGAGAAAGAGGAGGTCATGCGATCGATCTGATGCCAACGCCACTGCTGCTCTGCATTGCATTCGTCCGTCCGTCCGTCCATCCACCCCACCCACACAGACACAGGGACCATATGGGCTGTTGTTCCGCTCCTGTCTCCTGTGTCGTACCAGCATAATGTCGCCACTTGCCTATTGCCTTTTCGCACGCACGCAGTGCCGCATAGCTGCACCACAATCAGGACAAGACGCAATGAGGGCGAAGTGCGGGGCGTGCCTTGGTTGGTGCGAGGGAGAGAGAGTGCTCACTTGGCTGCCAGCAGCATGTTCTTGCGCACCAGCGACCTGGCGACGGTGTGCCGGTGCCACACACCCAAAGCCTGGTGCTGCAGGATGGGATGCTGATGCTGCCGACCAACACTATCGCAACGATCGCCCTCACGGCCACCGCCAGATGCAGCACCATCTGACAGTACAACAACCCCACACCAGCGTCATCCCGGTTGGTTTTCTGTTGTCCTGTTCTCCTCAGTTACTCACCTGGTGTGTTGTGGGTACCATCTGTGTGTGGTCTCAGCCTGTGCAGAGCGGTGCGGAGCAGCCGGTGCTGACGTCTATGGTCAGACAGACAGACGGAGAAGGAGAGAGACATACACGCACATGCGGCGTAAGGGTCTGTCGTCGTCGGTGCCTTGCGGACCTTTGTATGAGCTGGAGAGCTGTCTCCCTCTGCCTGCAAGCATCGAAATATATGGGGGGAAGGTGGACAAATGAGTCAGTCAAGCATTCAGCAGCTCCTTCATTCGCACCCTTGTTTCTGCAGTATCAGCCTCTGCCACGAGCTGAACGACAACTGGACCAAACACACACACATTCATCAATGGTGCCTTCCTTCTGTCTGCTTCATCAATGAATGACCCACCTACCTGTTTCGTGTACGCTGCCCTTGCATCTAATCCGTCTCGATCGGCGACAACGGCACAGCCATCCCCGCCCTCCATCGAGTCGCCATCCTCCACCAAACCAGTGCTATCATCACCATCCCTAGGCTGCTGATGCTGCTGCACGACCGGTGATGGTTCATCAGAACGATGGCCACCATGGCCACCATCACAAGCGTCCTTCGATGTGCCCCTCTCGAGCCATGCCAGCAGCTGCAGGCAACGCTGTCGACGCTGCTCACGGCTGAGCGGGAAGAGGGCCGCCGATGGTGGTGCCGGCGCCTGCAGCTTGCGAATGAGGAGGGCCTTCAGGCGGCCGATAGACGACGGGCTACACAGGAGGGCATGGATGAGCCTCTCGATGGGGCGCTCGGCCTGCCTTGCGATGGCATGGCTTTGGCTGAGCAGGGCGGTGAGCAGAGGCTCGTTGGCGAGCAGGCCTTCGATCAGCGACTCCCGAGTGGCGCTGCAAACACGATGCAGCATCCACCACACATGAGAGATCATGGAGCAGCGACGCAGGGACTCTCTGCCATATTGTTTGTTTGCATACCTTTCATGTGATGACGGTTTTCGTTGGTCCGCAAGACGAGCATACGACGCTGCAGCACGAGTGCGCCGATGAGCCCTATGTGCCGAGCTCTGCGGTGCTGCGTAGCTCCTCAGTCGTGTATGCCATTTGCGCGCACCATCCTCAGGGCCGCAACATCCCTTCCACGGCCCTGTGCCGCCTTCAGTCATCAAGAATGGGCTTGGAATGAGGCAGTTCCCTTCTCCAATCCATCTCCATCATCCCAGCTCGCAACTCCTCCCTCTGTGCGCGGCTCACCCTTTCGCCCAGGAATGCGACAGCACGGCACTGAGTGGGGGAAGTGGATGCGGATGGGCCGGGGAGTGGTTCCCCGGCACGGTTTCACGGGTCTCTGACTCTCATGACCACGAGTTGGCTCAGCACTCTCGTGTTCCCTCAAGCGCATTAGATCCATCGGCACGTCCAGAAGGTGAGTGAGCAATGACGTCTGCCACGCACGGAGGCAATCTGTCTGTTCTTTGTGTGCGTGCGGCAGACCGTTGTTTGCCGAGCATGAGCAGGCGTTCTCTAGATCAGGGCCCTGACGGCCGCCCTGCTGCCAAGAAGAGCAAGCCCAGCACAGAATGGCGATCGGTAGGACGCGCAGACACGCACCAACCAGGTCCACACATGGACCCTCTATCCTGCAGTTCTTGGTCTGTCTGTGTGCCGCTTGGTTGAGCAGCGTGATGATAGCGTGTACTGGAGGGACTATGGCTCGACGGGATCGGACAAGGTGTTGGGGCTCGACCTCGACGACACACTCATCGCCCCCAAGAGCGGCACCACATTCCCGATGGATACCAAAGACTGGAGGCTGCTTTATGGTGATGCGCGCAAGAGAGTGCTGAAGCAACACCTGCGCAACGGATAGGTGCAGCGAGCCACGATGGGGTTTGATGGGATGGGGGTGGTGCAGTCCGAGGGCCCTGGTTGTGTGTCGTTAGGTTCAAGTTGGTGGTGTTTAGCAACCAGAACGGCGTGGTTAGGGGCAACCCGCAGATCAAGGACCTGCAGAACAAAGTCGATGCCATCCAGGCCGCCCTCGACGTGCCCATGCAAGTGTACCTCGCGTGGGCGAACCAGACACTCACACACCGCCCTCTCCTCTGCTCTCCTTTTGTATGCGTGTGTTGGTCGGCAGGACGAAGACCGACAAGTACAGGAAGCCGCGTACGTCACGATGATGGCTGTATCCACACATCCACGCCCTTCCTCCATCCATCCATCTATCCATCCATCTATCCACCCTCTCTCGTGTCTGTGTGTGTGAGTGCATCGGTCACGCACTGGCGCGTGGGATCTGATGGAGAGCGACCACAACGACGGCATCAAAATCAATCGCCAAGAAAGCAAATTCCTGGGTACGTAGCCAACACACACCACACACCGCTGAGTTCCCACACGCCGCCGTCTTCGTGTGGTTGTGTGGTGTGGTGCATACCATGCCTGCAGGGGATGCGGCTGGCCGCCCTGCCAGCGATGGGCGCAAGGAGGACCACTCCGACAGCGATCTCCAATTTGCCCGCGGCCTCGGCGTAGAGTTCCTGACGCCCGAGAAGGCCTTTGTGAAGGGTCAGGGAACACACCAAATGAACCTGGATGTGGTGCGGTGCAGATGTGTGCTGGGTGTGGGCGCTGCGCAGGTGAGAGCGCCAGTGTGTTGGCTGCTGGCTGACGTGGCAGTTCAGTCCGTCTAGCGCACTTGGCGTGTGGTGTACAGAGAGAGATCGCACGACAATTGCGTGGGGGGCATGGATGGCATGTGTGTGTGAGTCGACTGAAACGGCGGCTCGACTGTGTATGTTCGCAGAGGGAGGGAGGGGGGGAGGAAGGTCGGTGTCTTGTGTTTGTGTTGTGTTGTGCAACTTGTGTTGTGTTGTGTTGTGTTTGTGTGAGTGGGGTGCGATATGCACGTGAGCGGAGTGCCAGCAAAGGGGTCGGCTTATGGAACGATACATGTATGCCGGCGGCACGACAGAAAACGACAGAAAACGACACAAAACGACACAAACAAAGAGGGCGGAAATCGGCCTGTGGGTTTCCTGGCCGGAAGTGTCTTCGGTTTTGAGGGCATCTGAGCGCGCCACGAAGGAGAAATCATCGCATCGCATGCCGTAGCTCTGTCGACGATGCAGACGTACTTGATTGCGTATGGATAGCCGCCATTCTCGAACATGGCGGGCACTTCTCGTCTTGACCCACGGGTGCCGATGACCCATCTGACGTCGTCTGCTGATAGCCCATAAGGTCAGCTCGGAGGGCGCAAGGAAGCGTGTTGGATGCGGCCGCACCACCGTCGCCGTGTGCCATGTGCCTTGTTCTGTGGCAGACCACTGAGGTGAAGTCATGGACACGGAAGGGGCGGAGCTGATGGCTGGACGCCGAAAGGAGGCTGAGATGGACTGCCACGTGACGGTTGCTCACCAGAGTGACGGGACGTGCACCGAGTACGCCCACATCAAACTCGTCGACATCAGGGACAAGTTCCTCGTCATCAAACTCTCACCGGCCGATGGACTCGGGAGCCTCAATGTCACGGTGAGTGAGCGACGAATCACCTGCACACACGTGGACGGGCGGATGGGTCGTGTGGCGGTGTTTTTGATATATGTGCGTCAGATTCCCTCTCAGTCTGTCAAGGAGATCATGAAGACCAAGGGGGACGTCCAGGGCATCACCTGCATCGAGACTGGCAGCCACCGCCAGGTCAACTTCTACCCCCAGCCAGACCAGCTCAGGGCCTTCTTCGCCAGGTTCCCCCAACTCAAGCCGCCCGACGTCAAAGACAGCGCTCTGCTCACACGCAAACGAGGTTACCATCACACCAACACACCACACCCCCCACACCATTCACCACCCCACCACACTCCTCTCTCTGTGTGTCTGTGTGTGTCCATCCATTCCATCCATCAATCCATCGGTCAGGTGACGAGAACCCCAACGGCGATGGATTCGTGCCGAACCCCCACATGATGTTTTCCACGTCGTCCAGCAGCCAGATGATGGGCCAGGGCAACCACAACTACAACAGCAGTAGCTACATCCCGCCTGCACGCGGGCAGCCTGACGTCAACCCCGGACCGCCACCGCTGGGCGGCGCCATGGGCGGCATCCCCCTGCAGCAGGGGCCCGTGCTGTTCAAGCCACGTGACCGAAACAAAGACCAACGCGCAAACGCCCTGCACTCGTCAGGTAAGCTACCCTCCCCTCTCCCCATCCCTCCCCCCGTCCACATCGCCCACCCAGCACACACTAGGCGTGTTGTCCACTGTCACGGCAACAGGTGGGAGCGCTGCTGGACGGGGAGGTGGCGGTGGTGGCGGGGGAGGTGGTGGTGGTCGGGGTGGTTACCGTGGCCAGCCAGATGCCGACGAAGACATGATGATGATGCCTGAGAGCTCGCCCCCGACACAGACGCCCACTAACCGCAACAAACGCGTAAGGCTCCACTGACCACTGGATGGCACACACAAGCCGGTCACTCCCCCGTGTGTGTGTGTGTGTGTGTTTATGTCAGCGAATGGATGTCGACGGCGGGGCGGCTCAGTGGGGGGCGGGCGGTGCTGTGGGACCGAATGAGAACGACAACAGTGCACAGCATAGCAACGCGGTGCGCACAAGTCGACAGACACACACACAGACACACAAAGGAGCTCATTGTTGTGGGTCAATCACTGGTCAGGTGCCTGCTGATGACGGCGCTAAGAGGCGTAGACGCGTAGACATCAGCCGTACTGCTGCTGCTGCTGGTGGCCATAGCGGAGGTACGCAAAGCATCAGCTGCTGTTGGTGGACTGCACATCGTCATGACCGTCCTGTGCTGTGTTATGGTGTCTTCAGGTGGGTCGATTGGTGCGGGTGGTGCTGCGGCAGAGTCACAGCAGCAGCATGAGGGGGGCGGCAGCTCACTGTCGGCAGATCTGACGGCCCCCACAATGCAGCACCCCCACCAGCAGCAGCAGCAGCAGCACCCCGTGTGGTACGTCCTCGCCCACCGCGGCAGCGATTTCCTGCTGCGGGATGTGCTGCGTCTGAGGGAGAGCTGCAAATGGGCCAGAGGCCTTTTCGGAGCGCCTCAGCTGCGGCAGCGACTCAGCCATGAGCTCGGCACACAGGCGGGGCTGCGGCGGACGGTGAATGGGAATGTGGTGCAGCTGCTGACATTCGACGACCAGCAGATGGGCGAGGGTGACCTGCTGGCGGCGCTGTGTGTGACGGAGGCGGGCGGCTGGAGTGAGATGAGCGAGGCGATCGAGCTGGCGGGGCAGTGCGGCAACTGCCAGCTGCCTGTGAGGCTCACTGCCGCCGATCTGCACCAATACCCAAACAAGACGGTAAGCCAACCGAGGGAGGGAGGGAGGGAGGGAGGGAGAACGGATGGCTCTCAATCGGTGTGTGGTGTGTTGATGTGTTGTGTATGCAGGTGTATTTGGCCGACCCCCGTGTGTTGGCTCAGCTCAAGATGGTCTGCCCCCACATCGACTTCGGCGACGGCGTGAGCTTTCGGCTGTTCCAGCACGGCAACACAGTGCGGGCCATCCAGGATTAGGACGGCTTCGAGCTCGACACCAACCCGCCCTTCCCTGCCAACCACCCCTACCAGCAGCACCGACAGCCGCACGACCCGCCCGTCCGCAGCAGGATCACAGGCTGGGAGTCGCAGCCTCAGTCGCTGCTTCATGTCGACTCCGCATCTGTGTCGTCGTGTGTTAAGAAGATCGTCCTCAACCACTTCAGGGGGACTCACCAGATCAACAGCACTTGCCGTAATATCGACAGGTGAGGCGGGGCATCACTGTGTCAGGGCACTGCCACGACACACGAGATGTATGTGTGTCTTCATTGGTCAGGCATATCGACAACGGCCGGCTGGACACCCTCATGACACAGTCCCCCCACACACCAGTGGAGAGATGCACCACCACCACATCGGAGTGGTCAGCTATCGGCTTCACTTACCGTCGTCTCGTGTTGACCAACACTGGCCACCCGTTCGTCGCGTGGATCAACGTCAACGAGCACACCAACACCGGTCAGCCCAGCCCGGCACAGCGAGGGGGAGGAATGCGGTGCCACTCTCATCTCTGTCCTCTCTTGTCATCCATTTGCAGTGGAGGTGTATGTGTGCATCAACACGACCGAGTCGGCTGTGTCTGGTGTGGGTGGCGCCTTTAAGGTCCACTTCCCGGTGACCACTCGGCTGGCGCGTGCGGTGCTGGAGACCATCATCTCAGCCAGGATCTTCGACCGATAGACAGCTGAGGTATGTTTGCACCAAACACGACTGAGACGAGCAGAGGATGCGCTCACGACTTACGCAATGGTGTCTGTGTCTGTCTTTCCATGTGTGTGTCAGGCTGGGCGGTGGTGCGGTGTTGGCGTTGAAGCGATCCGACCGACATACTCTCTCTGGACGGATGTGTGGGCGGCAGATAGATAGAGGGGGGCGGGTGGGGACTTCCTCTCGTGTGGTGTGCTGTCTGCTGTGGTACTGGCTGATGGATGGTCTGCCTCTTCCTAATGTCCGCGTGTTTGTTCACACCAGTGTGTCTGTTCGGCTGGCTCGCTCGTCCCTTCCTGTCTGTTTGCTGCCCCCACTCATGTGCATTGGCCGACCAGTGCGATGGATGGGTGGGTCGGCATTCGCCACCTGTGTTGTTTTTGCATCGTATGTGTGTGATGTAGGTCCCGGCATCACGTCACACAGTTCCTGCGGCATAGAGTTCCTGACGCCCGAGAAGGCCTTTCTGAACGATCGGCCGGCTGATTTACTCTCGCTCTCGCCTCTTTTCTCTCCCTCTCTTGTGCCGCACAGACAGACAGATACACACAGGTGTGGCGTAGCGGCGATTTTGCCGACAGCCATCCCCCCAGCCACAGACACATTCACACACACACGTGCTCACCTGTACATAACATCCATGAGTGTGTGTGTGTGTGTGGCCGTCGTCCCTCTGGCTGCCCTCTGTATCTCTCTTCCCCACATTTTTGGTGTCGATGGCCGGTTTTCACACCCATCGTCCGTCTACACACCTATGAATGCTTTCTCTCTCCTCCTCTCCCCTCCCCTTGACAGCACAGACAGACAGACAGACAGACATTCCATATCTGTCTGTTTGCCGGTAGCTCCGTCCGTCCTTTGCATGGCACCATGTTCATGTTTGCACGTTTCCATGGTTGTGCAGATGGCTGTCGGGTGAAGTGCCTAGGTCAATTCCTATTCATGTGCATAGAGGGAGGGAGGGAGCTCGGTGATCTGTGTCTGTGTGTAGTGTTTGTGTGAGTGGACTGACTGCGAGTTACACGTGAGCGCACGCGTTTGTGTGTAATTATGTACACGAGCCGAGCCAAGCCGGTCAGTCAGTCAGTTCACCAACCGCACCAAGGCCATGACACGACACACACACATCCATCTCGACACACACAATTGTCATGTCATGAGAGCTCCATCCGCCACACACCAGCCACAGCACACCGCAGCACACCATGACAGACACACTCCTCTCACACGTACGGTACGTCAGCCAGGCAGTCAGCCTGTTATTCCGCTTCAGGCAGATGGCAGTCCACCTTGCTTGCGTCTGGCGCTACACCTACCCCACCTAACTGACCAGAAATACCCCCCTCTCTCCCTCCCTCCCTCCCTCCCTCCCGGATTCCCTCCCTGCCCTCTACCTACTGAGACAGACAGACAGACAGACCCACACGCGCACACACATACAGCAGTCCCTCCCTGCCTGCATCCCTGCCATGCCATGCGTGTGTGAATGTGTGTGTGTGAGTGTGTACAGGGTAGTAGTAGGTCGGTTGACTGACTGACTGACGTCACCATCCGCCATAGCCTTTGTGCTGGAACTCCACCTCGAGCAGGTAGCGCAGGCAGATCTGCTCCACGCTGTAGACTATGTACTGATCGACCAACAAGCCAACCAACCACACACACAGAGACAGAGAGAGATGCCTGGATGGGATGGCATGGCGGACACTCACACATTCCTTCTTGCCTCACCTCGTTGTACTGCAGGACGAGGTCAGGCCGGTTGGTCTCCACAGCGTCACACGCCGGAACCTGACACATAAGACACATACACACAGATACACCATATGTGTGTATTTATTGCAGGCGGGTGTGTGAGCTGACCTTGACGCCGTTGGGCAGTGAGATGAATCCGCTGGGGTCGGGGTAGCTACGTCCGAGGCCCTTGGTGCTGAGCTTGCCGGCCGGGAGCCGGTCGGCATTGTAGTCGGCGTTGCAGAGCTCGTGGCAGTCGCCCAACGCCACCTCAGCCAACATCATCACACCCACGTTCGAACGCCCTCCAGACTGATTGATGAGTGTATGTATAGCGACACACACACACAGAGAGAGAGAGAGAGGATTGTGGGTGAGGTGTGGTGCGGTTGTGAGTGTGTGTTGGTGCCTGTGTGTGTGTATCGCCCACCGGGACATAGCAGTACTGGGCGCTCTTGGAGACCATGTCGGCGAAGTAGACCCCCTTGCCAAACATGTACCCCGACACAGGAGCTAGCAACCAACCACCCCAACCACCCCCACCACACACACACACACACACACGTCAGCCGCCGCAGCTCCTCACCTCCCTCCCTCCCTCCCTATCTACCTTCCGGCGGTGCGATGCGGAGTCCTTGGCTGAGGATGCCCACGTAGTTGGTCAGACGGGAGCCGTGCCACAGCAGCATACTGCCACACAAACCATTATATCCACCATTGGAGAGTGGGCTGTGCTGCGCCGGGCAGGGCAGACTGATGACTGACTCACTGACTCCCGCACCGGTTGTGGTTGTTTTGGTGTTTGCCGAATCGCTTCTCCTCGCCCTGGCGCGCTATCTCGAATATGTTCTGCACCTGCACACACACACACACACACACGTGTCCATGCAGCTGCCCCGCCATCTGTTTGTTGTCTTGTCGTGTTTGTCACACCATGCATGGTGTGTGAGGGTGTGTGTGGTGTGTGTCTGCTCTGTCTGCGCACCTTGAGGTCCCACATCATGTGGGTCTTGCCGTGGGTCTTCTTCACATACGACACTATCAACTGCATGCACCACCCACCCAGCCACCCACCCCACCAAAACCAAAACCATCCCTCTGGCGTGTGTGTTTGTCGACAGACAGACAGATGGTCACTGACTGACCTTGTGCATGGTGTCCGACGGCTCGAGCGGTCGTATCTCTGTCTTGAGGCTGCGGTAGTGGATGTCGGCGGGGTGCTCGTCGATGTCCGACGCCTCCTTCAACACGTGCTTGGCGATTTCTGCACACACACACACACGCAGGGGGTCGTGTGTGTGTGTTGTGTGTTGTGTGTGTGTGTGAAGGTAGGTACCCACCGATTTCAGCGAGTGACTCGAGCATCTCCTGCTTCTTCTTAACCTGCTCCAGACTGTTGATGGTACTGCCACGTATGTCGGCAAATCTGGGGGGGGAGGGACACACATACCCACGCCAGCCCTCCAGCCCTTCAGTCCTTCAGCCCTCCCTCCCTCCATTTGCGAGTGCGTTGGTTTGTCGGCGTGTGATGTGGCTGACCCGAAGTCGTGCGGTATGATGGTGTAGAACTGACTCGTCAAGTCTCTCAGTAACGTGTGACTGCACACACACACAAGCACACACACACCCACACACAGGCACAGACACAAACATGGCCCGGCCTCATGCCATCGGGTGTGGTCTCGTGTCTGTGTGTGGGTGGGGTGGCAGCCAGTACTTGCTTACGTCTGTGAGGTGGGTCGTTTGATGTTGCTCTCGATCTGTGTGAGCACCTTGTAGCCCATGTTGATGGTGCTCTTGGACAGCTTGCCCAGCGGCATCTTCTTGGCGTCATACCCTATCTCCACCTGATATATCGGACCAACCAAGCAACCAACCAACCAACATGCACATACGCAATGGGTGGTGGTGGTGTGAGTGGCCGAGGGGGTCGTGTCGTGTCACCTACCATACCATCTGGTCGTTCATCATTTTGAAGTCGCAGATGCGCTCCACCAACTTGAACACACGATGCTCCAACTGAGACTTGACCGGCTGCAGTGCAGCCACACAAGCACCACACACATGTACACCACACCCACTGCCGACCATATCTCTCTCTCTCTGTCTCTGTCTCTGTATCTCTCTCTCTGTCTCTGACCTCCTTCTTTTTGGCCGGTGAGGCCCCGCCACCAGCAGCAGCAGCGGCCGCGGCAGCCGGTGCAGCGGGCGGCTCCTGGTCGTTGCCGTAGTCCATCTCGAGCAGCATGTACTTGCCACTGTACAGCGAGAAACTCTGCAACGTCTGGCTCACGCTACCCAACCTGACAGACAGTTGACACAGACACACACACACAGAAACCAATGGAGGGCGGGGGCGGTTGTGCTGTGCTGTGCTGTGCTGTGGTGTGCTATGTGCAGACGGACCAGTGGTTTCTGGTCTTGTCCCGGAACTTGGACTGAAACTCGGCCTTGGCCTCCTCCTGTGGGCAAGGCAACGCAACGAACCCATCAATGCATCAAGCGACACACAGACAGACAGGCAGGTAGGCAGGATGGCAAGGAGGCCTGTGTCTGTCTGGTGTGGAGTGAGCGTTGTACCAGTGAGTGGTACTGCTTGAGAGAGTTCTGAAGGGCGGGCACGCAGGCAGACAGACAGGCAGACACAGCCTTTCATTCGTGTGGCGGGCGTCATCCCTCTCCCTCTCTCCCTCTTTGTGTGTGTGTGTGTGCGACCTGTCCGTCGTACCCCACGCGCCCCCATCTGTTCCAGCAGTAGTAACTCCGACTCTTGACGTCGTCATGCTCCAGCAACTGCATCCACACACACACACACACACACACAGAGAGAGAGAGAGGGTAGTTTACACGTGTGTGTGCCATGGGTTGCCTGGCCTGGCCTGCCTGGTGCGGACGGACCTGTATGATGTAGTACTTGTTGTTGTTGCCGTCAACGTTGGTCTGGTTGAGCATGCAGTCCCAAAACCCGACCTGGTCACCGTACACCTACTCACACACAAGGCAGACACAAGGTTGACACAATACATTTGGTCGCCACCAAATGTATTGTGTTGGTTGACCTACGTGGTATTTCTTGCGTATGTCTTTTTCGCATTTGGGGTCGACGGGCGGCCCGCCGCCCTTGGCCACCACCTTGACAGCCGTCGACTTGCGCTCCTCCTACACACACACGATCCAACACATGATCCCTGACGCCATACACGTCACCTGCATCCATATCCATGCAGCCCACCTTTTTCTTCTTCTTGGCCTTCTTCTTCTCCTCCTCGGCATCCTCAACCTCGTCCCCATCATCGCCCTCGCCGTCAAACAGATCGTCACCGTCATCCGCAGCTGGTGCTGTAGCTGCAGCTGCAGCAGCAGCGGGGGCCGGCTTGCGATCGCGGCGGGGCTTCTTGGCTACTGCTGCAACCACAAGCCAAACAGGCGGAGGGACGTGTCATGGTGTGGTGGCCACGTGGCTGTGTGTGTGAGTGGGTGGGTGCCTTTGGGTGGCTTGTCCTCTTCCTCCTCTGCCTCCTCGCCCTCGTCCACAGCAGCAGCCGCCGCGGCAGCAGCAGCGGCCGGCGCATCGGCCTTGCGCTTGCGGGCTGAATGGGTGGATGACAACCACACACACACAGACAGAGAGAGAGAGAGAGATGCAGGAAGGCCTCCATGCCATGTGTTTGGTTGGTTGGCCTCCGAGCTTACGGGCTTTGGGCTCCTTTGGTGGTTTGATGACGTACTTCTTGGCCATGGTCTTGGTGAACTTCCCTGAAGCAGCCGGCCAGTCACACGACGAGGCCGTCTTCTCGCTGTGTGTGCGTACCGTACCCGTCTTCTCCATCTCAGCAAACGCCTCAAAACTGACAAACACCGTCTTGGGGTCTGCCCAATGACAGCAACACACACACACCCATGATTAGCTGCTGTGTCCATCCATCCGCCCTCCCAATCCGCCCTCACTCACTCACCGATTTCGAGTGCCTTTTCGACGGTGGGCGTCTTGTCCTTCAGGTCCTCCTCACGGGCCACTACATAGTCCACGCCATCGTCACCGATCTCGTCGACAAACTCGCCACCTGATGCACCCATAACACACACACACAGGAGAGTGATGACAAGTGCTGTGTGTTGGTCGGTCTCTTCCCGGCTGCTGCTCACGCACACACCTCTGGCCAGCACCATGTTCTTGAATGTCTGAAGGAAAGAATGGAACAAAAATGGTGGCCAGGGAGGTGTTGTGGTGGCCAGCGCCATGATGATGTGGATGTGGGTGCGTGAGTGCGCGTCTACCGTCACATTGGGAACGGCATCATCGCAGCTGAGGGCGATGGCGAACCCTGCGAGCAAAACCGCAGACACCATTCATTCCATCGCTCGTCGCCGCTTTGGCCTTGCTGACAGTGCCCTCCTTGGCCGCTCTCACCCTCTAAGAGCTTATCGGGATCTGAGCAAACACACCCCACACACACGGACACATTGGGCGTTGGTTGTGTCGTGTTTTTCGATCAATGGAGCGTACCTTTTCGCTTGGGAGGCATGGCTGGCCACCAACAACGACAACCAACAAACAGCTATGCGATGTTCTTACCTTCAGTCCCAAGGGATACGATCGGTGAACTGAACGGAGGCATGGAGCCTGTATACTTGGTTTTGGAGACCTTTGATTCATCCATCGCCGAGTGTGATTCATATCATCCACACGAGAAGCGTCTCAGGACATGACACCATGCAATCAATGCAGAGAGGGAATACGCAAGACAGGCACGCAGGCAGAGAGTGTGAGAGCGAGGCAGAGAGAGCCTATGCACAGCACACAAGGACGGACCTACACACCCACACGGGCCACACCCACACGCACATACAAACATTTCACATGCACTGACAGACACCACAACCACACACGGCGTATCCGTCCTTCCATGCAGCTCTAGCTCTCTCTCTCTCGCTCTCTCAGCGACTGAGATCCTCTCTATCCTCTCTGTGTTAGTGGTGCCGTGCCGTACGACACAATGTAAGTCAGCCAGCCACCAAACAGCCAGCCATGCCCATCTATCCGTCTGACTGACTGACTGACTGCCCGCCTGACTGTGGGGGACCTGTGTCTTGAGATGAGCCCATCGGTGCGGTGTCGTCAGTGCCGGCAGTGGCCGCACTGACGAAGCCGCACGATTACATGAAAGAAAACTAGACAGACACCCTCTCTGTCTGTCGCAGGCAGCTATGATTCCTCCCTCCCTCCAGTCGTCAGTATCATAAGGCTGATAGGAAGAGTCAGCACGGTCAGGCAAGTGCGGGCCGGGCCGCGTGAGCAAAACACAGTCAGTGCATTGCCACACCACACGAGAATCGAGACGACTCGCCGCTACACACGCGTCAACAGGTATAGACACACACACGTGGGGTGGGGTGGGGTGGTTGACTCGACCAAAAGCAAAAGGAGAGGACGTGTATTGTCACGCATTGCACACACGAGGCGGACGGATGTGCCATGGGACGGTGTGTGTGCCTTGCTGTGTTTGCCCATCTCCCCTCTGCTGCTGTCTGTCCTCTCTCCGGCCCACACACACCTCACCGGTCTGGGCGGCGAATGCACATGAGGGGGGGCAGTGGGAGGGGAGGGGCGGAGTGGACAGACAGACAGACAGACAGACAGACAGGGACGAGCGAGCCAGCCGAAGAGACACACTGGTGTGAACAAACACGCGGACATTAGGGAGAGGCAGACCATCCATCCATCCATCCATCCAGCCATCAGCGAGTACCACAGCAGACAGCACACGCCACGAGAGAAAGTCCCCACCGGCCCCCCTCTATCTGCCGCCCACACATCCGTCCAGAGAAAATGTCTCGGGCGGATCGCTCCAACGCCAACACCGCCGCCCAGCCTGACACACACATGGAAAGACAGACACAGACACCATTGCGTAAGTCATGAGCGCATCTTCTGCTCGTCTCAGTCGTGTTTGGTGCAGACATACCTCAGCTGTCTATTGGTCGAAGATCATGGCTGAGATGATGTCCCTCAGCACCGCACGGGCCAGCTGAGTGGTCACCGGGAAGCGGACCTTGAAGGCGCCACCCACAGACACAGCCGGTTCGGTGGTGCAGACATCCACACGCACTGCAAATGGATGACAGGAGAGGACAGAGATGAGAGTGGCACCGCATTTCCTCCCCCTCGCTGTGCAGGGCTGGGCTGACCGTCGACGAAACGATCGATGCGAATCCATGCGACGAATGAGTGGCTGGCGTCGGTCAGGACGAGAGAACGATTGCGGCCGATAGGGCCGAGGTACGATGTTGTGGTGGTGCATCCCTCCACTGGTGTGTGGGGGGACTGTGTCAGCAGGGTGTGCAGCCGGCTGTTGTCGACATGCCTGACACACACAACGTACACTCGTGTGTGACGTGGCAATGCTCACAGAGAGTGATGCCCCGCCTCACCTGTCGATCATACGGTAAGTTCTGTTGATCTGGTGAGTCCCCCTGAAGTGGTCGAGGACGATCCTCTTGACATACGACGACACAGATGAGAAGTTGCGAGCAAACAGCGGCGGCTGCCAGCCCTGGTGAGAATAGTCGATCCTGCTGCGGACTGGCGGGTCATGGGGCTGTCGGTGCTGCTGGTAGGGGTGGTTGGGAGGGAGGGGCGGGATGATGTCGATTTCGAAGCCGTCCTGGTCCTTAATGGCCCGCACTGTGATGCCGTGCTGGAACAGCTGGAAGGTCACGCCGTCGCCGAAGTCGATGTGGCGGCCGACCATCTTGAGCTGAGCCAACACACGGGGATCGGCCAAATACGCCTGCACACACAACACATCAACACACCACACACCGATTGAGAGCCATGGTCCCTCCCTCCCTCCCTCCCTCCCTCGGTCGGTTGGCCTACCGTCTTGTTTGGGTGTTGGTGCAGATCGGCGGCAGTGATGCTCACAGGCAGCTGGCAGTTGCCGCACTGCCCCGCCAGCTCGATCGCCTCGCTCATCTCACTCCAACCGCCCGCCTCCGTCACACACAGCGCCGCCAACAGGTCACCCACACCCATCTGCTGCTGGTCGAATGTCACCAGCTGCTGTCCGTTGGCCGTCCGCCGCAGCCCCGCCTGTGTGCCGAGTTCATTGTCTGTTGTCCATTGGCTGAGCAGCTGCCGCAGCTGAGGCGCTCCGAAGAGGCCACTGGCCCAGTTGCAGGTCTTACTCAGACGCAGCACATCTCGCAGCAGAAAATCGCTGCCGCGGTGGGCGCAGACGAACCACACGGGGTGCTGCTGCTGCTGCTGCTGGGGGTGCTGCATGGGGGCCGTCAGACCTGCCGACAGTGAGCTGCCGCCCCCCTCATGCTGCTGCTGTGACTCTGCCGCAGCACCACCCACACCAATCGAGCCACCTGAAGGCACCACACAGCACAGGACGGTCATGACGATGTGCAGTCCACCAACAGCAGCTGATGCTTTGCGTTCCTCCGCTATGTCCACCACCAGCAGCAGCAGCACCACCACCATCAGCAGCAGGGCTTCTGCCTACGCGTCTACGCTTCTCGGCGCTGTCATCATCAGGCACCTGACCAGCAACACACACCAATGAGTTTGTGTCTGTGTGGGCGTGGGTGTGGACTTGTGCGTACCGCTTTGCTATGCTGTTTGTTGCGGCTACTGTCCATCTGACGAACACGGTCAACCACCTGCACCAAGGAAGCAAAGCAGCCACACAGCGACATGGGATGCAGTCATCAGTGCGCCTGTGATCTCAGTCTGCCGACTCACTGCTCAGTGTGTGAGTTTTGGCGTCAGCCTTCGAGCTGAAACTGACGCCAGCCATCAAGAAGCAGCCCGACTGATGCCGTCAGTGCTGCCCGCCGCACAAATGCAAAACCTCTCAACTCAGGCCGTCACCGTCAGATCTGACGGCACACACACCGCACAGCCAGGCAGGGAGGGAAGGGAATGTGTTGCCTGTCGTTTCTATGTGTTATGGCTCATCTGCCTGTCTGCCTGCCTCCCTCAGTTGGCCTCGCTGATGGGAAGCGCCTCGGCTCGCTGAGTGAATGGGTGGAGAGGTCTTTTGGTCTCACCGATGGTGACGAGAGCAAGTGTGGAGGCATCAACAAGCCGTCATCGGAGCTAAACTTTCCTCGTCCGCTTTGGAATGCGAGTTCCTTCGTCAGCTTTGGGCTTCGAGGGAGGAGGCGGGATCTTTCCCTGTGCGTATCGAGGGTGAAGGTGACGGCAAACGCGTATCTTGCGCTGCATCTGTGCGTGGGTTGCGCCTTTCCGCTGCAGATGTGTCGCTGCCTCTGTGCGTCTGAGAGCATCCAGTCTGTTTGTCTGGCGTGCTATGTCGGATGAAGCTTGCCATCGAATGCACACAGCAATGGAGCCCACGGCGGATGCTGCTGATCTTGATCACTCTGTGCCTTCCCGGGTCCGCGCCTGCCGCCCTACTTCATCCGCTTCCCCTCCCTCTTTCTTCTTTCCGCCAGAGGACTCAGCTCACTGCACATCCCCACCCCCCCAGCCACATGAGGCATCCCCCACCCCCTCTGCTGCATCCCTCACACAGTGCCCCTCTCCCCCTCCCTCTGTCCGGCGCCGGCCTGCTCGAGCCATCCGCACAGGCGTCGCTGCACTCCCTCCTGCACCGTCTGAAGCATCTAACCCACCAGTCCCGGTCGTCAGCGGCCAAGGCCCGTCGCCACGGCGTCACCAGCGGCTTTCACCGAGAGGCCAACAACTCTGTCGAGGAGGCGCGGGACATCTTTGTAAGAGTGGAGGAGGTGCTCGGTTTCTCCGGCCACCCCGGATCGTTTACCCCTCTCAAGGCCGATGAGTGGGACGTGATTGTGTGCGCAGCCAGCCGGCTGCTGGGCTGGCGGGGGGCGCTCATGTGGCTAGAGAGGATGCGACGGCACTCCTTGGCGCAGCGGCCGTCTTCAACGGCGTGCAATGCAGTGATGGGTGCGCTAAGCCGGTCGAAGCGGGCGGGGGAGGCGCTGGAGTTGCTGTCTAGGATGGACAAGGAGGGCGTTGATACGGACTGCTGGACCTACAGTGCGGCGCTGGGTGCGTGCAGCTGGTGCTGGGAGGGGGTTGAGCTATATGATCGGCTGAGGGCGGAGGGCGTCCAGATGGATGTCTTCTGCTGCAACTCGGCATTGGCTGCGTGTCGGCACCTGGCCCTGCCAGACAAGGCCGCCGAGATACTTCAGGTGGCCAGGAAGCAGCACACAAACACGAGATGGACACCTCAACAACACGTGTATGTGTATGTGTATGTGTATCGTTTTCTTCTTCAGGACATGAAGGCATCCGGCGTTCGTCCAGATGCAGGCTCATACAAGCTGGCCATCCACTCACTGCACTCACTACTGGAGAGGTCAACTCCCGACAACACACCCACCGACCATTCCCTGTCAGCGCGAGCCCTCGCCCTCTACAGCGACTTCCAGCGGCAGCTCAATGACGGTCCCTGCCCGCAGGTGCTGAGTGCGACGATGCGGGTGCTGCTAAAGGAGGGGCAGTGGCGAGAGGTGCTGCTGCTGCTGGATGACAGCTGCCGTGCCGGATGTGGGGAGGGGGAGGGGGGTGTCGATTTGGCTATTGTGAATATTGGGCTGGGCGCCTGCGCTATGGGCAGGGATATGGGGAAGGCCAACGACATTCTCGAGGTGAGGGAGGCTGGCCGCCCAGAGAGAGGGGGAGGTGCATGCAATGCATGGGATATGATTGTATGCGCTCGTGTTGTGTGTTGTGCAGGTGATGCGGGCGTGCCAGTTGTCTCCCTCCATCATGACGTTCAACGCCTACATCAACTGTCTGGCCGAGTGCGGCCTCTGGCAAGACGCCCTCGCCCTCGTAGACCCCTCACGGGCTCTTGGCTCGCCCCCGGCTCTGCCCCCGCCCCTCCCTCCAATGGCGCCCAACATCGAGACATACAACCAGGTGCTGAAAGCGCTGGAACGGTCGGGAGAGTGGAAGATCGCCCTGCAGCTGCTCATGCACCAGCTGAGCCACGTGGCGCCCTCACTCAAGCTGGGAGAGCCGTCGGCAGCCGCGATCCGTGACGAGAGAGGCCGCGTGATCGCCCCCGACGCCATCAGCTACACGACGGTGCTCAAGGCGTGTTCGCGAGAGGGGCGGTGGCGGGCGGCTTTGCGAGTGTTTTACTGGATGCGGCAGCTGCGGAGGGGCAAGGAGGGAGTGGATCGTCTGGCGTACACGACGGCCATCAGTGCGTGTGCACGGGCGGGCGAGGTGGGGTTTGCTGAGAGTCTGTTTGAGGAGGCCAAGAGGGAGGGGGTGCTGCCCGACCTCATCATGGTCAATGCACTGCTCGACGCATGCGACAAGGTGAGTTGAGTGGGTGGATGCCTCACACGCACATGGGCTTTGTATTGTGTGTGTATGCATGTGTGTGTCAGGCTGGTGAGTGGGAGCGTGCAGTTGACATTCTGACCCAGCTGAAGGAGACACCCTTCCCCTCTCTGCGGCCCGACCACCGCTCCTTCAACTCGGTCATCTCGGCCTGCTCCAAGAACGGCCAGATGGACCTGGCATTCTCATTCACTCTGGAGATGCAGACCTACGGCTTCAGACCGAACGAGGTCACCTACCACGCCCTCGTATTCGCCGCTGACGACCGACTCAGGCCCCCTGATGATGCGACGGCTGATGTGTCGGCAGAGGAGCTGGACAATTTCCTCGGCGACGTGTATGACAGCACCAGCGACGCGCCTGATCCGGTGGCTTATGGGGCGGCCATCGCGTCATGCAGACGGAGGGGCGACTGGAAGCAGGCGTTCTCCATCTTGCGCGAAATGAAGGGCCACGGCCTGACGCCCACGTCTTTCTGCTACACGGCCACCCTGCAGACCCTCATCGCCGCTGCAAAGAGCGGCAGATACACTGGGGATGGAGAGGGAGAGGGAGGGGGAGAGGGTGCGGAGAGCGGCCCCTTTGCGCATCACAGCTGGTGGAGCCACGCCGTCTCCTTGATGGAGGACATGCGCGAGGACAACGTGCCGCCCGACAAGAACATGTTTGCCACCCTCATCGACCTCCTCGATCGACTTGGCCACGGCGATCTCGCTCTGGAGCTTTACAGGGAGGCCGTCGACCGGTCCCTGCTGCCCTCGTCAAGCCAAAAGGACGAGGGAGGGATGCTTGACCTCTCGCGCCAGCCGTCGGCCCTCACACGAATGGCACTGAAGCACGCGCTGCACATCGCACTACACGGGGGCCCCATGCCGTCATCCATCAACACGGGCGACGAAGAGCTGCTCACCCACGCCCGTCACTTTTTGCGGGCGTGCAACCCGCCCATCCGCACACACGGCACCCGCCATCCCCACCGGCTGATGATCGACCGTGGCGATTTGATCGAGTTCATGCAGGTGCGGTCGAGGGCGCTGAGGCTGCCGAGCCGTCGGAGGGGCGGTCTGGCCAAGAGGCGGGCAAGGCTTGTGGGGACAAGGAGAGAAGACAGCAGCAGCAGCAGCAGCAGCAGGGGACGGGATGAGGGAGACTGAATTTGATCATGAAGGGTTTGATAGGTCTTGAGCTGTGACTGTGTGGAGGGAGGCATAGGCGATGTGTGTGTGTGTGTGTGTGTGACAATGAAGGCATTGATTGACGTCTGTGGTGGCTCACGGAAGGTTTAACAGTGCTCACTTGAGGCGGGTGGCAGAAATGCATTACTCATTGACATGCAAACAGGGGCTGATGCTGCGGGCCGTTTGAGCCGCCCGGGCAGGCAGAGAGTTTGATTGGACCGCTTTCACACACACTGGAAAGAGAGGTGCAGACACACGAGGGTGGATGCGGTGGTGTGTGTCGTGAATGAATGGGTGGTGTGAGACCTCACACGTCCGCTTCGCGACACGAGAGAGGGAACGATTGGTGCGACTGTATGTCACTTGACTTGATGGCAATCGATGAGCCACACGGCCACGAATGGGTCCAATGTCACTCACGCACACGAACTGACCATCTCACTCAGAGGAATACGAGCGTCAGCGATTCAGCTGACCAGGGCTGGTTCGACCGATGGGTGGTGGGACGAATGGGTGGTTCTGTAACAGCCTGGTGTGCCCTGGCGGGCAGAATGAAAAGGGGAGTGAGGGCAGCGGAGGACCGGCCGGCGGGAAGCCTGTCGACAAACATGCCGGGGAGACACAGGCATAGCGTGAGAGTCCGTCTCTGGGTGGAAGAGATGGGCGGTGTGTGTCTGTGGGTACCTGTGGATACTATGTTGGCCGTGTGGTTTGCCCCTGTGCTCTGGGACGAAGCGGTGTTCTCACGGGACCTTGGTCCTGAGAGCGGCCTGGTGTCCTCCTTCTTCACACCCACCTTGCGGCTGACACGCACATATACACAAATACATGAATTGATGGATGGACGGATGAATGCCGACAGGTTCGTGTTGAATGCGCACCTGGGAGACAGCGTGGTTTGGGTGATGTTGAGGGGGGTCTGCTGGTGCTGCTGGTGCTGGTGCTGGTGCTTGCTGGGGCCGTTGTGAGTCGAAAAGAGCGTGGCAGCAGAGGGCCGCGAGACATACGACGACACACCGATCAAAGGCTGCATGATGGAAGCAGACTGCCCATTCGATATACCTAGACAAAGATTAGACACCGGAAACTGCTGCACCCTGCTCTCGTTCGTGGCCTCCTCGCCATTCTCCTCACCCCCAGTCGTCAGCGGCCTGTTCCAGGGATTCGTAGGCGGCCCGCCATTGCTGCTGCCGTTGGTGGAGCGCTTCTTCGGCGCAGCCTCTTGTGAACGTGGGCGAGCGCCAGGGCGGTAGCGAACAGCCGTGTGTGTGCCGCCAGGGGGGAATCTCACCCTCGAGCCCTGAGGAAGCCTCCCCGCCGCGCCATGCCCCGCCCGTCGCCCGGCGCCGCTGCCGCCCACCTCGACCGGGGTCACGTGTTTGGGCACCGCGCCCGTGCGATGCTTCTGATGGGTGGTGAGGTGGGTGCTCCTGGGCTGGCTCGAGTGGGATGGGGGGACGGACCCCCGCAACATCCTCGACGCCACCGCTGTCTCGCTCAGCCCCCTGGGTGGTCGGTCCTTGTCCTCGCTCATCGTCAGCTGCCCCTGCCCAGCCGCGCCACCGTTGCGACGGGCACCATTCTGTTTGCTGGCCTTGATGTGGTTGAGCAGTGAGGGGCGCTCTGTGGTCGTGCTGTCTGTCGTGGGGATGGTGTTTCGCGAGTGGTGGTCGGATATGATCGGGGCCTGCCGCTGGTTGGTGTGAGAGTGGGGGTGGGCCCTAGCGTTGGACGCCAGGCTCCCGCTGTTGGCCAGGTTCTGCCGGTTGAGTGAGAGTGAGAGGCTGGGGCGGTGGGCTGGGAAGGAAGAAGAAGAAGAAGACACAGTGACAGTAGCCGCCGGCTGCTTGGGCCTGGGCGGCACCACAGGGGCGCTGTTGTCGTTGACACCGGCCATCGTCTGCAAAAAAGCCTGAGAGAGAGAGAAAAAGAGAAGAAACATACACTGGGCAGTTGTGTCTTTCTGCAATGCGTGTTGCGCACCTGTCCGCCCCGTATGAAGGTCTCCTCCTCTGCAGCATCCACACCCGTCCCTTCATCACCCTCCTGTGACCCACCAACCACACCACCCACCACACCACCGCCAGCTGCTGCGGCTGGGGCGCCCACGTCCGCCGAACCCGACGACTCACCCCCGCTGCTGCCCGCCGCCTTCTGCGCCACGATGCCCTCAAGGAAGCTTGACACGGGCCTGCCCCCGTACTCGCCCCACCTATCCACCTCTCTCGCCGGTCGTTGCGATGGTGCTGAGGCGGCCGGCAGGTCGGTGTGAGCCAGCGATGCCATTTGCAGCGGAAGGCCTGGCAAAATGGCATCGGGAGCCATGTCTCGCGCAGCCTCACCCACAGCAGTCTCATTGCGATCGCCCTCCCGACCAGCACCACGACCCTCACCACCATTCGGCACCACCTGTGTCTGTTGGCCCTCCTCTCGCTCCCTCGCCTCGCCGATGAACCCCTCCTCCCCCACGTTGTGGCGCCCTACCGGCTGACCCAGGTTAACAGGTCGACCGCCACCTGGGTGGAAGTCGCGCTCGTGATGCATCAACAGCCCGTCGGGGACCCGGTTAGGTACATTGAGATCACCGAAAGCGATGGGCTGTCTCGGCGACGGGCAGTGTCGTAGCTGCTCCGAGGGCGGAAGAGCGGCCAGCTCTCCGTCAGGTGGCGGCGGCCATGTGGGAAGGACGGACGGTTCGGCGACGGGCAGGGCGACGATGGACGCTTCGGCGACGGGCAGGGCGGCGATTTCTGCCTCTTGTGGGTCCTCCTGTGCCGAGAGGATCTGTGACCTCATGGCGCGGCTGTGGTCAAGCTGCGCCTGGCACTGCATCTGCTCCAGCTCCACCTTGAGGTCATTCACCAGCTCGTCGAGCTCCTTTTTTTCCTTCTTGAGCTTTTCGTTCTCCTTCCGCAGATCCTTATTCTCATTGCTGAACCAAAGCAAGGGAAAGTGACACCGGGAGGGAAGGAAGGCAAGGATGGGCTCAGGCGCAAAGGGCTGTCTTGGGCTGGTCATTCACTCACTGTAGTTCGATGCCTTTGTCGAAAAGGAAGACCGCCTCCCCTCTCTGGGACAGCCAGTCGCGCATGGGGATCTGCCCCTCCTCTCCCTTCAACTCTCTATTCAGCCTCTCAACGTCTTTCATGTTCTTGGCTACATTAATGGACACACACGAGACACAGGAGGGAGGAAAGATGGGTTGACAGACGCCAGGAGAGCGCTCGCACGTACGTGATGTCTCGCCCGCCTCTGTCAGGAAATCGACCTCAGGAATGTCTACCAACTCTGCAGAAAGAGAATGAAAGACGCGTATGTGTGGGTCTGCGTGTCTATCTGTGTGGGGGTCCTGTGGACATACTTGTGTCAAACCCCTCGAGCTCATCCGTGTCGAAAATTTCCTCAGCTGCTTTACCATACCGCTGTAAGACACAGGACAGGCAAGCCACAAGACACACACACACACAAAGACACACACAAAATACATTGCTGTGCTCTCGCCGGCCCGTGTAGGTGTGTGTGTACCTCTCTAAGGATGCGCTGAAATTCCGTTGTGGCCCTGTAGCACTTGTCCAGCAGGGCATCGAGCTGGGTGACAGTGAGTTGGGCGTCCAGCTGGTCCCAGTCGAGCAGGTGACGGCACCGCGCCGTCTCCTCAAGGGTGATCGCTGCCGCATCGTCTTCCTCCCCCTCCAGCCCACCGTCATCCTCACCGTCGTGCTGATTCTCCTCGTCTATCGTCTCCCCCTCCACTCCGTGCTGATCCTCCTCGTCTATCGTCTCCTCCTCCACCCCGTTCGTCATCCCAGCACCATGACCGTTGTCAGCCCGATCGTGGCCCAGGGTATCGTTGGTCATCCGAGCCTCCCCGCGCCCCTCTTGCCCATCCTCTGGTCCAGGACCCACCCCCTCTCCATCACCCTCTCCCTCTCCGTCTCCCTCCATCCCGCTCTCGCCATCACCCTCGCTGTGGCCATTCACCATCTCCTCCTGGGCGTCCGCATCGCCGTGTTGCCGCCTGGCGGCCTCCCGCTTGGCGGCCTCCCGCTTGGCGGCTTCCTGCCTGGCGATATTTCGCTTTTCTGACTCGGTGAGGGGGAAGTCGTCCATGAAGTCTGGGTCCCGGAGCCTGTGGAGCATGCAGAGAAAATCCCACCCAGAGGGAGGTGCCGGGACGGGTGGGCATGGCACACGAGGACATAGCACACGAGGGCCAGGCGATGGTGTGTTGGCTGTCGCTGCGATGGTGCTGGCGGGGTCCGCGCCCTCGATGTGCTGGGCCAGCTTGTCTTCCGACATAGGGAAGCCATGGTTGATGAGTTCGGAAAGAATGCGGAAACGAAGAGGGTCTCCGAACATGCGCAGATGACTGATGAGCTGGCACCACATGTGCTCGCGGTGCCAGTCGTTAACCTGTAGCAAAGTGCATGACAAACACGAGTCCGTCAAGGGCATGTGGCGTCGATGCGGCCATGGAAGCTTACACGTCTCATCCTCTGCGTCACTGTCAACATGGATTGGACACGACGTCGAATGTGGGCTGTCTGCAGCGAGAATACCAGTGCAAATGAGGACGTCTGTCGACGTTCCCCCTTTCCTTTCGCCCTCACCCATATCTTCATATCCCGCAACATTTTCCTCTCGCGCTCGGGCAATTCCAGCAAACGAACCTGTGATATGCATCGAATCGGATGGACTCTTTCTCTGTCGCCCTCCCCTTCCTTCCTGCGCTGGTGATTGGTGTCTTACTGGCTTGGTCCTCTCCAAATCGTTGCCTTCAGACCCTTGGCCTTCATCCGACTCACGCCTCGCTTCACGCCGACGGGCCGGGCCCGGGGTAGGTTCTAGGTCCACGGGTCTGCGCTCGTTGATGGTGTCCATTATTACTGCGATGCGACAATCGTTGCAACGTTGACAGCAGAATCTACCACCCCAGAGTGTTTAGAGCGCATGTGTTTAATGGTCGGTTTGTCGATCTACGGAAGTTGGCCAAAAAACTATCGTTCACCGGGAGCCAGTGAAGTCAGCATGCCTACCATGCTTGCTGTCTACACGCCTGTCTCTACCTCCTGCTTCTACTTCATTCTCGTTTTAAACCAGATCGATTGAGGATCGAATTTCTGTTTTTCTCGAATCTACCAAATTCGTTTGTTGGTTTTATCGCCTGGATTCCTTTCCAGTGTGATCACACACACATTGATGCAGAAAAACATAGTTTGACTTGCGAGCTTGAGCTCGCAGAAGAGTCCATTTGTCCATGAGCACACTCTTCGATTATGTGGCATCTGCGGCTGTTGTGCCTCATCGCGACGGCTTCAAGCATCAACCAGAGAGCACCCTGGGCCTTCAGGGGTCACCATCATGTGCTGATCTGCCAACACAGGCACCGCAGACTGAGAGCCCAGCATCCGCGAGTGTGGATGGGCGACGTTAGCGGCGAAGGGGTGGGCAGAATGACCACCATGGAGGGACAGACCAGGCAAGGCGGCCCATCCCCCGTCCCGAAAGAATGGAAGACTCTCTCAGATGGTGAGCAAGATCCCACAATCAGGCAGATCTTCCATGCAATTGCATTGCTGATGTTGGTGCATCTATATCATGCGCAGGTGTGTATCTGATGCATCCGACGCGTGACGACCCCTTCGATGCGGCTCAGGATGATGCCGACGTCACCGGCGACGCGCCCTTGACAGATCAGGACATCGACATCGTTTTTATACACGGGTAACGACACACAAGACAACACAGGCAGACAGGAGCATTGGGCGCAGACGAAAGCCATCTGTATTGTGATGTGTTGCATATCCCTTCATTTGTCAGGTTGCAGGGCAGCGCCGCCAAGACCTGGCGCCAGATCAGGCCGTCGCAGATGAGTGACGATGATGCGGCCTTGACGGACCCATCCGCCCCGCTCTCCCCCACATCCACGGGCCGCAACGGTCGACCGCGGCGGCGCCGCCCCCCTCCCCCAGCCATTTATGTCACTTTGGAAGACCTGCAGAGGGAGGCGGAGATGCATGACGACGACGGCGATTTGAAACAGGATGTTGGTGAAGCGGCAGATCGAGATGCGATGCCGGCATCTGCCGCCGACACACCAGAGGATGACGTGGAGCTGCAGACAGATGACGAGGATGCGGCTGAGAAGGCGAGGAGGGGACGAAGGCTTCGTTTCCCTCGCTTCAACATCCGGCTGTCCCCATCCTTTGCTCGCGCCCTCCTGCGGCTGCCCTCGGCTCTCACCAAGGACCAAACACGCCAGAAGACAGCGAGAAGGGCCAATCGCAACCCGTCCTCTAGCCCCCTGCTGCTTGATGACGTTCAAGACACCACGGCGTCATCGAGCGGCGATGAGAGCCGCGCTCTGGCCGTGACTGAGGAGATGAGGGCCATGATCTCCTCACTGGAGCAGGGGATGCAAGAATCAGATGAGGAGGACGCCGAGACTGATGGACGCCCCTATGTGCCCCTCTCCGGCAACTTTCTCGATGATCCCTTCGTGCCAGAGGACAACAGCACCCTGGAGCTCGGCAGCAGGGCCCAGCCAACGGAGAGCGAAGCATCGTCATCCCCTCCCAAGCCCCGTCCACCTCCCGGCCCTCCGTTGAAGCGTTTCTGGTCTGCCGTGACGGACGCCTTGCGTCAGCGACAGCGCGCTGGAATGAGTCCGTCTCGTCGAAAGGCACTGGTGCGGGAGGCGTTGAAGAAGGGCATAGAGGAGGAGGAGATGCGGGCACAGCAGAGGGACGTGACCGTCAGGAAGGACCCAAAGTCACAGTAAGTCAGGGGAGGGGCTAGAGAGAAGTCGGGGCTGGTGGATGACGGTGAGAGAGGAGCGAGGCGTTGCGTTCGTCGTTTTTGGATGTGTATGTTGCAGGACGTTTGTACACTGGCCCGCCCGCTTTATCCCTGAGGACTTCCCCGGAGCAAGGATCATCGCTGTCGATTACGACGTATGTGACGCACACGTGACCTGATTCCTATCTGTCATTGTGCCATTCCTTCCGCGCGGTCAGGCTCCGATGTTCCGTGACCGGAGGCCCCGCAGGCAGCTCCCCAACCCGCGGCAGAGCCAACCAGCCAACGTGACGGCTGCAGAGAACAGCAGTGCCCAAGACACGTCGACGCCCTCCCCGCCGACCGCGGCCCCTCTCACGACACTCACGGCATCCCCTCCCTGGGCCGTTCACCAGGGGAGCCAGCGGTCCGCGAGGGCAAAGGGCCTGGCCCACATACGCCCCCCTTCTCCCCCGCTCTCGTTCAGACCCCCTCCGCCCCAGAAAACGCCTGTGCTCGACCTCAGGGGACCGGCGATGCGCTTCGGGGGCTGGCGAAACCCACTCAGGGATCGCACCAATGCCACCCAAGACGCCCAGCCGGTGAAGGAGAGGCGGGGCCACCGGCGGCAGTCAGCCGAGGCGGATCGACTTACTTTGAATCAGCTGTCGGACGATCTTCTGGCCCGGCTGCAGGCGGCTGGTGTGGGCAGGAATGGGAGGGGTGTGGTGCTGGTTGGTCACTCATTGGGAGGGCTGCTTGCAAAGAGCCTTGTGGTCAAGGACAAGGTCAGCACGGTCACAAACGAAGAAATACCATTCGTCTGAATCATCCGCTCGCTTCCTTTGTTGTGGCGCATCAGGGTCTTCGTGAGAGCGTGCGTGGCGTTCTCTTCTACGGCGTGCCGCACTTGGGTGCGCCAATCGCGAGCATGCCCCGAGTGTTCCGGCCCATGTTCTCGCAGATAGTGCAGCAGCTGCGGCCCAACCGTGAGCTGCTCTTCCTCAACAACGCATTCAGAGACATCGCACTACAACAAGGTGTGCATGTGGGTGGGAAGGTGGTCTCACGACTGATACGCCACGCCCCTCTGCATACGATACGTATGCGTGTGTGTGTGTGACCGTAGGGATCGAGACGATATCGGTGGCTGAGTCGCGGCCCACCCGTCTGCCTTTCAACCAGCTGGATTTTGTGGTCCCGGTAAACTATGCCTATCCGCGGGTGGGCGAGCTGTGTGTGGTGGGCGAGGCCGACCACATCGAGGTCTGCAAGGCCGCCGCCAAAGACGGAGACGCCAGATACGAGACGCTCAGAGACCTAATCACACGGGTAAGAGATCTCCGTGTGGGTGCCCACACGCCAGGCAACTCATGTTTGCGGATGGCTGTCTGTAACTTCAGGCGTTGGAGCCGCAGGAGTCATCCAGAGATCGGCTGCTCCTCCCACTGGTGTTCACCTCACGAGCAGACCGGAGTACAAACAATAGGCCAACCGCCGCGCAACCACTGGAGGCGACGGACACCACATCATCGAGTGTGTCAGGAGAGAGCAGCGAAGATAGCGAGAGGGAAGCGGGTCGGCTGGAGGCGTTGCGCAGGCGTCTGTTCCGGATGCGGCGTGGCGATGGCGATGGCGATGAGGGAGAGGATGAAGACAGCGGTGCGCGGGACGACCGGCCTGCATCGAGGCCGCTGGTTCTGCGGTGACTGGTGGATGAGGCATGAGTGCAGAGGTCTGTCTAGAGAGGGTGCCGTCTGTTCGGTTGTGTCAATATGCATAGCCTGCCTAGGTAGGTAGCTCAAGTAGAACTATGAGTGAGGCGCGAGGGTCAGCCTGCCAGCCAGCCATCTATCCATGCAGCTGTGTCAGCTAGTGCATGTGTGTGTACGGTAGGGTATGGTGTGGTGTGGCGTGGCGTGGCGCTGCATATGTAATCTAATCTGGCGGCACGTGTATGCGCTTGAATGAATGTGTATATCCCGAAGGGATGAGATGAGGAGCGCGTCAGTCTTTTGCAACGGCTGACATGTCAGTGAGAGGTGGATAAAGAAAGGGCGAGGGCCGTGTGTGTTTGGTGTGATGGATTGATGCGATGCATGTCATGATACACACTGTGTGTGGTGTTGTGCTACTCTCTGCAGAGAGAGAGATCGGGTGAGCTGTACAGATGGACAGACAGACAGATGACGACTGCCTGGCGTGGCGTGGGGTTCGGCTGACTGACATGATTCACTGATTGATTGACTGATGCGTTTGGACCCCTCATGGTACTCCATTGACTGAGTGAAAGCAATGGCCTGTTTGCAATCACAAGAGGCAACGAACTGATAGCATGAGAGCTTCGTACACCCCGGGGTGGGCGGAATCGCCACACGGAGCGCCGCACGGAGGGGAAGCCTTCTCCTTATCGAACAGCCCCTTCAAAAGCACTCCTCACTCATCGCGTTGGGGCCTCGCAACAAGCACGAGCTTTGATTCGATCGCCGCTTGTGAGAAGAGGGAAAGAGCGAGGAAAGCGCTCACCGAGACCGGCTTGGAGCCATGGAGGCAGATCCAGCCCGCCCTGTCCGGTGAACCATCCCCTTGCCTCTTCTTCGGCCTCTGGCAGCTATTTTCTTCTGCTGGACGTCAGGGGCTCTCTACAAGCGGCATCCATCAGGTTGCTGCTTGGATCCAACCAGCATCAATCTCATCGCCTGAGCAGGAGCCAGAAGGATGAGCCTCTCGTATCGTATCGGGCCTTCCCTCCCTCCCTCCCACCAGCGGAGTGGTGACGGTTCCCAGCTGGCTACGTCGTCCCCCATCTCTGCAGGCGGCAGTATGTCCATCGACTCATCGCAGGCCAGCCTGGCCATGGCCGCTGCTGCTGCCACCATGCCCGGCTACCCCATGCCCACACACCCACACTCACCGCCACACTCCCGGCTCCCCGTGGCCACCCCGGGCGGGCAGACGCCTCTGACGCACGACAACAGCATGACGGCTCAGAAGCGGCAGGGTGTGGGTGTCAACACGCCGCCGGGTCGTGTGCTGCTGATTCGCAACTTGCCGCGGGACGTCAGCGAGTTGGAGATCAAGGAGGCCTTCTCGCCATTCACCATGGGGCGGGCACTCAGGATGTCCCTCAACCTGAGTGCTGGACAGGCGCTCGTAGAGTTCCCGGTATGTGGGAGGAGGGTGGAGGGAGGAGGGTGGAGGGAGGAGGGTGGAGGGAGGAAGGAACAGTCTCCATGAACCCACCCACCATACACAAGATGTCTGTCATGTGCCATGTGATCAGGACGGGCCGGCTGCGTCGGCTGCGCTGGCTCAGGTGCGTCAGGGCGGTGTGGTGATCCGCGGGTGCACCATCCAGGGCGGCTACCGGACGCCCAAGCCTGTGGAGACCAACCAGGAGCGCAGCGCCGATTGCCGCATCCTGCTCGTCACCGTCACCAACTTGCAGTACGCCGTCGAGATCGACGCATTAGAGCGCATCTTCTCCAGATACGGATTCGTCGACAAGGTCAGTGGACACACACACCATCACAACAAAGCAGCTTGCCTTCATTCGTGTCTGTGGTTTCTTATGTGTTGCAGATAGTGTTGTTTCAGAAGGTGCAGGGGACGATGCGTGCGTGGATTCAGTTCCAGAGCAGCATTGACGCCGCCCAGGCCCTCGCACAAGTCAACGGACGCAACATGTACGACGGATGCAACACCCTGCAGGTAGGTACACACACACGACAGGGAGGCAACGACCACACAAGATCCACTGGGTAGGTGCAATCAAGGTTGGTGCCTTTTCTGCTGTCTCTCCCACTGGCTGCAGGTTCAGCTCTCTGACATGACGGAGCTCTGGGTGAAGGACAAGCGCAACAAGGGCCGCGACTCCACCGCACACGCCGTGCCCATTGCTGGTGACCCGCCACGCACACACACCCAGTGCTGATGTCGATGTCACATGTGATCTGGTGTGTGGATCAGGTGTGGCTGGCTATCCCACAGCTCCTGGCGGCGTGCACCTGATGCCCCCAGGCGACTCCACCTATGCGCCACCACCACCAATGGTACGTAACGACACAACACACGAGACGAAAAGGCAATGTGGGCTCATCTCTCTCTGTCCTTTTTGTTGGGTCACCAGGGCATGCCCCCGCAGGACATGAGTGCCAAGAAGCGTAGAAGCGTAGACATCAGCCATGCTGGTGGTGATGGTGGTGGTGGTGGACACAGTGGAGGTACGCAAAGCATCAGCTGCTGTTGGTGGACTGCACATCGTCATGACTGTCCTGTGCTGTGTGGTGCCTTCAGGTGGCTCGATTGGTGTGGGTGGTGCTGCGGCAGAGTCACAGCAGCAGCATGAGGGGGGCGGCAGCTCACTGTCGGCAGGTCTGACGGCCTCCATGCAGCACCCCCAGCAGCAGCAGCACCCCGTGTGGTTCGTCTGCGCGCACCGCGGCAGCGATTTTCTGCTGCGGGATGTGCTGCGTCTGAGGAAGACGTGCACCTGGGCGAGAGGCCTCTTCGGAGCGCCTCAGCTGCGGCAGCTGCTCAGCCAATGGACAACAGCCAATGAACTCAGCACACAGGCGGGGCTGCGACGGACGGCCAACGGACAGCAGCTGGTGACATTCGACCAGCAGCAGATGGGTGGTGACCTGTTGGCGGCGCTGTGTGTGACGGAGGAGGGCGGCTGGAGTGAGATGAGCGAGGCGATCGAGCTGGCGGGGCAGTGCGGCAACTGCCAGCTGCCTGTGAGCATCACTGCCGCCGATCTGCACCAACACCCAAACAAGACGGTAGGCCAACCGACCGAGGGAGGGAGGGAGGGACCATGGCTCTCAATCGGTGTGTGGTGTGTTGATGTGTTGTGTGTGCAGGCGTATTTGGCCGATCCCCGTGTGTTGGCTCAGGTCAAGATGGTCGGCCGCCACATCGACTTCGGCGACGGCGTGACCTTCCAGCTCTTCCACCACGGCAACACAGTGCGGGCCATCAAGGATGAGGGCGACTTCGAGATCGACATCGACACTTCCCTCCCTCCCAACCACCCCTACCAGCAGCACCGACAGCCGCACGACCCGCCAGTCCGCAGCAGAATCACATATTCCCACCAGGGCTGGCAGCCGCCGCTGTTTCATGTCGACTCCGCATCTGTGTCGTCGTGTGTCAAGAAGATCGTCCTCAACCACTTCAGGGGGACTCACCAGATCAACAGCACTTGCCGTAATATCGACAGGTGAGGCGGGGCATCACTGTGTCAGGGCACTGCCACGACACACGAGATGTATGTGTGTCTTCATTGGTCAGGCATATCGACAACGGCCGGCTGGACACCCTCATGACACAGTCCCCCCACACACCAGTGGAGAGATGCACCACCACCACATCGGAGTGGTCAGCTATCG